GCTCTCCTGTTCTCCTGATAAAAATTGGTTTTCTGATTTTTGTCTTTTTCAGTTTACAAGATACCTCCTTCGCTCTCCTGTTCTCCTGATAAAAAATGGTTTTCTGAATTTTGTCTTTTTCATTCTACAAGATACCTCCTTCACTCTCCTGTTCTCCTGATAAAAATTTTAAGGAAATTGTGTTGGATAAGGAAAGGATTGTAACGAGGTTCAATAAAAAATGCAATAAAAATGTGCTTTCTAGTGTAATTTATTGAAAACTCATCTGTACATGTACATCACTCATCTCTCGATATATCAATTAATATATCAATAATATTCTCTTGCCTATTTGCAATATTTTTTCACGTTTCTTTATAATTTAAATTAGAATTCATGTATGAAAACATCTTCAAGATCATTTCGATAATTCTTACAGTAATTAATAAGTGGCATTTAATCCACTATAATAATAAATTCATCGTGTCTCGTTATTCTTGAACAATCGACGATAAATGAGAATTCCTCTCTTATTCCATAGAATTACGTTGGCAGTTAATTAATCATTAACAAAGGGTAACGCATGCAATTTTATTCCACATTATCATTTTTAAAAACATTAAGTTCTGCGATTACCTTTTTTTCGTTATAAAATTTCTCTAGGTTCTAAATTAAAAAATAAAATCTACATCCTTATATCGACGACCGAATAATCACACTTTGATTCCACATAGAAATTTATTTAAGGATATTATGGCGTGGGCTCGAGATGAAAAAAAAATCAGCCAATTTTATGAAACTTCTTCCACATATTAATTTATCCACTATATACACCCTTTACAATATTTCAAGGGCTCTGCGAGGAAGACATGAATAAAAATTAATTCTAAAGTTGCTACTTATCTATGGAGTTAAAGGGAGTGTCGATAACTGATGCATTTTCCCCTACCTTATCCAACAGTCGATAAGGCAGGAAAAAATATACATTTATCGACACTCGATAAATTAGAAATAATTATAGAATTAATTTTTGTTGATGTTTTTCGCGTCGAACTTTCAAGATTTTGCAAGGGATGTCTAAATGGATCAATTAATATATGGAAAAGATTCCATAAAATTAAATGCTTTTTTTTATCCCGAATCCTCATCGTAATATGCTTAATGCCATTGTTCTTTACTCAGAAGTATTAAAAAAAAAAAAAGGAAAAATTCAATTTCACGTATTGCAACTATCTTTGTGGTTCTCCCAAAATTTTGATGTTTAATTGGCCCGAACCAAGTGAGTAGATTTCAATCGAAAAAAACTCGAAGATGCTCTCCCCCTCAAATATCAATATGATTATCAATCCTATCGAGAAGTAGTGAAACGAGACGATTCGATTTCTAATATCCGTTTTTTTTTTCGAATATCGCAAGATGTGTTCCAAAAATGAAAAAAAAAAGAAATATCCCGTACTATTTCTTCTCCTCGAATTAATTTCCATTACCTCAGACATTTTGTTGGTGAGTGGAATAAAAGAATAATCTCACATTTTCATTAAAGCCCTCGGCGAAGTTCCCCACAGTGATACAATTTCCAAAAATAAATTTATCAAATGAAAAAATGTAATCCCTTTCTCAAAAAATAACAAAAAATTATCTGAACTTTGCGTTGGGTCTCCCATCGTGCTCCACATTCAATCAATTCATTTTTTTGTTCCAAAGAAGGCCCCTAAAAAATAGCAATTTCTTCATTCCACTCAACAACAAAATTTAAAAAATCTTATTTTATATCGACGAAACTGATTAATCACACTTAGCATAAATTCCAATCTTAGTAATCATCCCGTGTTAATCTATCCAATCATCTCCTTTATCACTACCCTACGTAATCTTTAACTATTTAAATCGTTATTTACTCGTTATTATGCACTTCGAATTCGATTTATCGTAAGACGTTAAACTCGATAAGTTCAGTATCATCATTACGCCTTGGAACGGATTTACCTCTATTTATGTTTATATCTCTCTCACAAAAATAATAATCCACGATACAATTGAATTTTGTGATTATTTTCCTCAGCACTTGAGAGGCAAGTTGTACCGTTGATAATAATAATAAAAAGTAAGAACAACCCGCAGAGTTAATCGTCCAGCGAATGCCGTACCTAAGCAATTTTTAGGTAAAATTAAAGAAAAATATTTAATTACCAACATCCGGACGTTGTGAACTGTTGATCAATGGTCTGCACGTGATCTGCAAGTGAATAATCCACGGCAATTTTGACAGCAGGGCCTCTTGATTCCATGAAACTTTCCAGTTGTTAATTAATCCCGTGGAGTTACTTCGTTTATCGATTATTAATCGTTTGTAGGTTTGTTAGTGGGCACAGGAGTGATGAGACTCAACATGACGGTCGTACGGACAGTCTTTTGAACACCATGGGGTCATGGGAGTTATGGCTAAATTGTAATTTGCTACGACACCATCTCGTGCCAGCCAGAGCCATTTGATGAGTTGCTTTCTGGTGATGCAGTCTTAGTATCGACTCTGTCAGGAGAGGAGGCCCTTGGACCCCATATCCTAACGGTGCAGTCATCAGAAACTGAAGCCATCATCTGATGATACACAGGATTCCATGACACACAGTTGACAGTTCTACTGTGTCCGGTTAATACAGCTATTGGCAGTTCTCGTTTAATGTGCCATACGTAAACTTTATTGTCCTCACTTCCCGAAGCAATGAAGTCCTGATTGACTCCCCCAAAGCAACTGTGGATGGTAAAATGCCCTTGAGTCACTCCCTGGAAGCGTCTCACGAGGCATCTGTCTTGCAAGTCCCACATGTGGACCCCTTGGTTTGCTATGTTGAGAAGCACCAGCCGATCTGTTTTGTTTACACTGAAGGATATAACAGCGTGATCCTCTTGCAGCCTTAAATCATCAAATAATCAAATACATTAGTAATTAATAAGAAAAAAAAAATCTTAAATCAGTCAGAGCTATAAAAATAAAAATTACATTGTGAAATCTGCCAATTCTTCAAAGCTGTAGCTGCGAATACGATGATGAGTATCAGCTGCCAGTACTGTTTTACCATCACTTCTGCACCACAGGCTCTTCACTCTAACTCCTTCCCAAGAGTCAACAATATTCCCATCCAAATCCTGTCACATAAAAATAACTCGAGGTCACTATTTTAAATACTGTATAGAAATGGAGCAAATATTTTTCATTTGAATTTAAAAAATGACTCACGCATTGATAAAACTGTCCACGAATTCCCCCAGTGACGAATTTTTTGGCATCTCTGTGCCAGGCGCAGGCAGTGAGTGAGTCCTCAGTGCTCTGTGTGAATTTAATCCTGAGTTCGCAATCACGAGTATTGATACTGTAGACCCACAATTCAGGGCAATCCTCAGGGCCACAGGCAATGAGATGAGTGCTATCAGGGCTCCAAGTGATGAAAGCCACACCAAAGGTGTGACCCTCGAGGGTTTTTCTATGAGTGACCCTCAACGTGTCAGGATCAACGTCCCAGATGATGATGGTCATGTCCTTGGAGCCAGTGGCTAGTTTGAGGCCATCGGGTGAAAATTTACAATACCAAACCTCGTCGCAGTGATCATTGAGCACTTGAGTGGTATGACAGGGAAAGTGCTCTTTGCCACAGGTGTGATCTACCAGCAGTGAGACACTCTCTAATGTCGCCTGATTTGGCGAAATATGATAGGTGCATTGTTGATTTTGCATTTCGATGGCCTGGCTCAGCAGGGATTGAAGGCGTCGTGGTGGTAGCATTATGGAGGGTGGAAGGTACCTCTGGAGTCTATCCATCAGGGCAGCACGAGAGGCTGAACCCTTTCCGTCCCATCCTGCACGTGTTTGTAGTTCATCTCTCCCACTGCACATCATAAATGCCGATAACTGATGAACTCGACCCGTGTTGTGTCCCAGTGGTGTCAGCTCATTCCTCAATACCTGAAGTGCATCCAACACGAGACCCTCCTCGAGAAACTCGAGATACTTCTGCTCCAATAGCAGAAATTTCATCTCAACGAGACTCTGATTTTGATTATTCAAAAATGGTTTGAGCTCATTGAGATCGTGATCCGCCTTATTCCAGTCTCCGTCCATAACGTGCTGACGGAATTTAGCAGCTGACGGATGATCCAGACGACAGCCAGATTCCTGCATGAGTAAATCAGCTGTCCGACTGGAAAAATAAAAATTAACCAAGAAAATTGTCACTGAATTTTTATCATACTTTATCATTAGTGTATATTTATACTGTCAATGAAAAGCATTATCTCGAGACTCGAGTGACAATTCTTTGCACAAACATGTTTTCCAAGGTGAAAATATCGCATTTAACGACAAGATTTTGACCCAATTTATTTAATTGTTTAATTGTATCTTCCAATGACCTGATTTTAGCGTGACGATTATCGATTATTTTGATGGCCATTGTATTTCTCATGCCCCTATCATGGCAATAACTTTGAGCATTGTAAGTGACTGCATAACCCCAAATAAATTTTTTGGTATTTAAATATTAAACAAGCCATGAAAAATCAGCTAGTCCTATTATTTCCATTTCACTACTCTCTCCTAAATAATCTTTCAATTATCGCGGCATCTTAAAAGGTTTTCTCTGCAGTGAACTGAATCGGAAATTTTCTTGCCTCTCCAATGGCGCAAGTGTTCACCTCCCTTTGTTTACGAGTCACGTCAAAACAACTCCTATTGCTTTCCAATGGATATCGGATTTTTTAATCATCAATTGTCTTAATAATTTTTAAATAATACATACTCAAGTCCAACTGCCTTCAAATGTTGCCCAATGAGACGCACAATGTCCTGATTAGTCTTATCCATAATCTTTGGTGGTCCCAGTGCTTGGCTCTCGCCATTAACACCATTGATATCACCGTCGCATCTTGGTGATGTATTGCCATTGGCATGGGAACCACCAGTGTCTGGTGTTGAACCATTCTGTTGTGGTCCTGTTACTGGCGCCCCATTTGTGGCTTGCTGCATCATACTGCATTGACACAGAAAGGAAAAATCAATTCAATTCAATATTATGCGGACTAATCATTTAATGCAATTTATTCTAGATAAAATAATACATTTTTTTCGGAGGTATTAGAATCACTAAAACATGTTTTAGGACTTGCCATTATTATTTTTTCAAAAAAATGCTGACGATTTTCTGATGAATTCATAAATAAAAAAGTTTCATTTTTCGATGCAAAAAAAAAAGATCACAAAATTAAATTTCTTTAATTTTTTAGCGCATGCGTCACATTTTTCTAATCTTTTCTTTGTATGTGCAACTATGGAAATTATCTCTAGGATATGTGATAAGAGTAAATATCGGGAGATATTTTTTTAATTTTCTCGGCAACAAAAATAAAATTACACTAACTCCTCTGTTTCAAGGTAATTGGATGAATAGAGAAGAATAAAGAATGTACTGATTACCTATCATGATTTCGCTTATGAATTATTCATTATGAACTGAAATTCTACTACATAAAGGAGTGGTTAGTTCAATTATTTCAAGTACTCGGAATTATTTTAGAAGGTATTATTAATCTATTACAGCCTCTTGAATAACGACTAGGAAAATTATCAAAAAAGAAAAATGAAAGTTTCACGTCAGGGGATCATCTGAAAAATTGCCCCATAAAATTTTTCAAAATTTCAAATGATCTCCCGTTAAAACTGCGGGGCGAAAAAAAATTTTGGCCGTCGTCAAAACAAAATTTGAGCTCTTTAAATCCATTGGGAAAGGTAAAAAAAAAAGAAATGGAGTAAAACGTCAAAGGCATGTCCTGGAAGGCCATCAAAACAAACAAATGCTCAATGCTTTGAAGATGAGGTGGTGGAGGTTGTGGAGGTGGAGGAGGTGGAGGAGGTGGAGAAGGAGGAGGAGGTTGGAATGTAAAAAAGAATAGGTAAAACGTGAGGTCGATGTGGGGAGTAAAATGAATAGATAAATAAATTGAGAGCAGTTTGAATACTCACCGATAATTGTCCATGTTTGGGTTGTTGTGGTACTCGTCCGCTGGTCTTGGGGTAGTCGAGAATGAACTACGGGACCTTTTGCGCGGTGGCGGAGCGAGCCCACCGTCGTCCGACTCGCCGCTCGAGGCCAGGCTTGTGCGCGTATCGCCCCGTTTTTCACACGATTATTATTTACCTAGGAGGTGCTTTAAACCTTCCTAAATCCACCGATCACCTAATTCCACGATCATCCGCACTACCACAGTCACTCACTCACTTGCCTATTTCTCCTCCACTATGAAAGCCAAAAAGAAACAAAAAAAAATAAAATGTCCACTTATGTTCAAGTCCCACGCTCACACTATTTCCACCATTTTCCAATAATTTTCCGATTTTCTTACGCTATTTCGGCGTCACTCGTCCACCAGAGTCCACTCCCCCTCACGTCACAAAAATTTTCACTTGGTTTTTTATCTTTTATTTTTTCTCCTCTTTATCCTTGAACACTGCACCGTTACTCTTTATGAAATTAATTTAACAAAAGAAAAAAGGAAAAAACTATAATGAAGTGATTTATTTTCCTTTATCTCGATGATTTATCGAGTCTCAGTGGAGGAGGGGGGGGATTATAGAGTAAAAATAATGGAAAGTTGAGTGAGTTATTATTCTTGTGCTAGTGCCAGCCAGGAGGCACTAGAAAAAAATATATCCCAAACGAACAATGACTGCCACACAGCTGATACTTGTTTGGATCGGTGCTTTACGTCACACACTCCTCGACTGGGGCCTGTCGAGGCTCTCTCCTTTGGCTAGGGTATTCCAACTTCCAATCCGTGATTATTCTTCACAACTTTATTCTCTCTCACTCTATCACTCCTTATTTTGGTATTGTATGGCTAGGGATTCTAATGGGAAACTGGATCGGGCTCTCTCGTTTTGTCTCTGTCCATTGGGATTGGACTTGCAACTGGATTTGCCGATGGGTATTGTGATTCAACTGTTTGCCTTGGCGATTGGTTGGGGGGCGTTGAGGTATTTTATAGTTTGACAATACCTCGCCCTCCTGAAGCGCCGATCGGTAAGGCAGCCATTTTGTTCGCGCCCATACGCCCCGGAGCATGAGTTCGCACCGACCGCGTCAGATGGCGCCAATTATTTTATTTCTCTATGCAAGATGGGAGAACATCGATATCGGGGAGGTGGGGCCGTTCAAAAAATTTCAAATTCAAATTAACCAGAATATTGGTTAAAACCTTACATACCCTTATTTTTCTCAATATTTTTCACTGCAACTTGAAATATTTTGAATTTTTATGGACGCTTCTCTGAATATCAAATTGAATGGAAGCTTATTTATTTTTTTTTCTGCGAACCAATACATGACCCGGAATAACTCATTGTTTACGACGACGATGGCAAATATTTCACTGGGAGAGTTGCTGTATTTTTGGAGTTACTCGGAATTCAACAATCTTCAGTGAATATATTGCCTGAGAATTTTTAAAATAATTCTTCCATTTTTTTCCCCCAATAACTGCTCATAAATATTAATAATACTCAATTAATAGCAACCGGCGTAATTATGAGTTGGTGCAACTGTCGCCAAGGAGTGGGTAAAAATTGGTAGATGATAAATTTTGATGGACTCACGTGAATAGTACATGCATTCCATGCCACCATCGATTTCTCGATCTGCCACATTGGTATATGCGTACAGGTGGAAGTGAGAGAGTTGCCAGTTGAAGAGAGTCCGAGGTGTGGTGTGGTAGTGAGGGCAAACTCTCGTCCTCGTCCTCCTCGTCCTCCTCGTCTCCTCCTCGCCTTTTGCTCGCCTCCACCAACGAGTAACCACTGCAGACACCAGTGAGTACTTGAGTAGTCACTCGCCGGCCGCCGCTCGAGAACGTATCAAAACTCACTCCCCAATACACTACATATCTTGGACATACACATCACCATCACCTCAACCACCACCTGCATCCCCAACAGTTCCAACCATTAGCCATCAGCCATCAAGTGCTCAAGTCACAATCCACCTGGGACCACCGCAAATGCACAACACTTCACAAGTTAAACAACACTAGAAATCATTTAAAAAATCCAGTGAAACGTAAAACGCGCCAGTCGCCGAGGAGTCGTGAGCTCTCATTCCTCTGCTCCTTCGGGTTGAGTTGAGAACGGCTTGAAACGACGGTTCAGTGCTGGCGAAACATCCAGAAGAATTCCATAATCACGGAGAAATTTATGTCTCCCCCTGATTTATTTTCTCTTGCTAAAATCAGTGATTGTGATTTTCTCAGTGTGAAATTAATCTCAAGTGAATGATCCAGTACTTTGTGAATTCCATTGGATTACAATTCGGGATGCCTGCGGTGTTAACGAGATAATTTAAATCTCGGTGATCACGAGAACAGATTAAAGGTAATTAATATCCAGGGAATTGACGAATTATTGGTTGTGTTGATTTGTCGAATACTTGAATTAACCAATGAAAAATTGAATAAAATGGAAATTGAATTTGTGGCACGTAATGGTGAGGCTGGGGCGCGGGGTTTGAAATAGTTGGAAAAGCCGGGAAATTATATAAAAGATGTAGTGGGGTATTTGGGAGGGAGGACTGGGCGTTTGTGGAAAAGAGACTGTGAAAGGAAGGAAAAGGGACGCCTCGCGCGCATTCCAACAGTTAGTCAGTCAGTGCGCATGCGCAGTCGATGAGTTAAGCACATCAGATTCTACTGGCACTGGGACGCTCTCCGCGTGCCCAACAATCATATTTATCAAAGAATTTTATCAATGCTGCTTTAATCTTTAAGGACTATCCAATATCTACACTTTTTTTCTTTTCAATTTGCCAATCCAACATGCATCCACCAAGCTATTTCATTTTTTCATTTTTCCCATTGAATCATGAAATTTCAAATATTTCACCAATTGGTGATTATTTTCCAATTTACCCCAATTGTCAGTTGAATAAATTATTATTATATATATATTTACCGAAATTTTCGTTTTCATTCATTTACTCTATGACGATTTGGGAAATTCTCTATCACGCGAGATCACGCCTCAAAATTATCACATGAAATCAGCGATGACGGATGAGATTTTGAATGGTCTGAAAAAAAAAGTAATGAATTTCTTGATATTGTTTTTTTCTTCCGGCAACATTTCCAAAGAAAATTAAAATTCTCCCGAAAAAATGCAAGGGGGAATTTTCATTGCCATTGATGGAGTAAAAAATGTAAAAGGAATTTGGAGCAACGAGAGTCGACTATTGTGAGTTATCAAAAAAAAAAAAAATTCCCATCTCACGCAAATGAATTTCCAATCTCACCTGATTTCTAAATCTCCCTGTATCATTGTTCTCCCCTAATGACAATGAAAATTGAGTACAAGTTGGAAGTTGGAGTTGGTTTAGGTGAACGTACGTACATCGGTGTATTTATAACAGTAAAAGAATAGTGTGGCTGATTGTTTGAGGCCTCGCACCACCGGTCTCTAAAAGGCATAGACATGAATTTTAATGCTGGTATACAGGCCATCGAATAACTTTCAGGCTTAGAGATATTTGAGAATTGATAATTCGAGATATTGAGAATTTGTCATCGGTCATTTATATTTTCTTGCCAAGGGATAAAGAATGAAGGCCATTCCATGAGCGAAATCTTTCGTGTTTAATCGTCCTGACGTATGCGGTCTAGGTTGAGTTTTACGATTGTTAAAAGAGTGGAAAAAGAGTGAGGGAATGGGGAAGTCCTCGTTAAATTAATGACCTATGGAATTGTTGAGGGGCTCTTTGGTTGTTAGCATCATCCGGAAGATCCATTGAACGGCTTGAGCTCCAGCAGGCTGCATTCCATCGGGGCTTCGATTAGGCCTCGCCCAGTGCTATTATGCACGAAAATACTCAAGTGCATAATACCAGGAACCATTTTTTATTGTGGCTGTTCTCCAACTGGATTTTATCCATTTTCTATGCGCCGTTTCGAGGCAGTGATCTACATTGTATGGCTATCTATCACCAACTTTCAAAAACTTTCTTCAGCGTTTCCTCAATGGTTCTCTTCATTTTTACGGCACTTTGGCTCGTGGAATTTATTGGAAATTGCTGGCTTTATTCGGTTTTATTGAAGAAGGGGTTATTTATGAGCGATCCAGGGCGAGAGGTTGGATATTTCGTGGATCGCCTCATTTTCAATTAATTTTATTTCTTTTCCATTTTTTTTTTCTATTTTAGTATTTTGAGGGATTGGAAATTTTCGTATTTTTTCATCATAGCACAATTTTTCGCAAATACTCGTATGAATAATGAGATGCGATACGAACAGTTGGAGGCCATTGAGCCGAGGCAAGGAGGAGGGCCTCATCCTCTTCAACGACCTCCCTGCCTCATAAACACACAAGAGTTGGTCGTTCTTCCCATCGCCAAATGAATTTCCGATTTATGAAAATTTATCCATCTCGTGTCTTTCACAACAAAATTTATCCAACAATTTTTCCTCGTAATAACCCTCTGAAACTGAGTTTATCATTGGTATGGAGCATCCAGTATAGCCACTCTGGAAACAACACTTGGCATTTCGTATTATAGCGTCATAAAGATTGATACTGTGGTCACGTATCTCTGGATGCCAGAGCGTACGAGATGGAGTCGATGATAATCTGGACCGAAAAAAAAGAATACAAAAAAAAAAACAAGAAAAAATGTTTACGCTCCAGAAAAATATCACCGGGGCGGGGGTGCAGTGAATTATTTTCTCTTTTCCTCTGAAAAGAAAAAAAGAGTGGAAAATTTATTGTTCGAGGATTTGTTCGGACGTGACTCATATTTTTTCCGTCTTTTTTTTTTCTCTGCCAGAATAAAAAATCCAAATGACCACTTAAAATTTTTAATAACACATCTAATCGATTGACGGCGTAATTGCGCAATGGAATGGAATTCGATCATTACTTAATAGCGAGTTGAACTGTTGAGAGAAAATAACTATTTGCAGATAAATATTCGGATTATCAATAAGAGGCCACGTGTTTGATGCCGGTATTATTTGATATATGCGAATAATAATGGAAGTAGAGTTGGGTAGAATTTCAAGGTTTTCACTTGATGGACTCAATATTAATATGGGTCCATGGGCCCATCGCCCCCGCTACTACTCCATCATCTCTCTCTCTCTCTCTCTCTCTCTCCCTCTCCATGGCTATGATTTTTAGTTGAGCCATTCTCGATGGGTTTCTGGCTGGCAAACGATTCCCCGTATTACAGCAGGCCTCAAAGACGAGGAATGCGGGCGTCCTTCGTACACTCCACCGCGGGCAGAGTCCACCCGATGAGCCAGTTAAGTAGCGCACCTCTTTACTCCTCTGTACTCAGTACACTGCACCCACCCACCCCTAATTCTAATCACAAACACCCAGATTATAAAAATTCCACTGATAAGCTAATTGATTATTTCCCCCAAAATGACTAAATTCCATAAATGCACCATCAAATGCAATCCACAGATCTGAGGACGAATGTGAGGTATTGAGGTACAAAAATTGATGCGTCGAGTAAAATAATAGCGATTTGAATGCATTACACATTACGTTAAGGTGATGTTTTACGTAACCGCGGGGTTACCTCCTATATAAACTCCAGCTCGGTCGCATTGCCGTGTCTACTGATGGTCTTTCCTCCTCTCTCTCTGCCTTCCGTTCTGTTATTTTACTCCTTTTTCATTTTTTCACCATTTTTTTTTAATGTATGTGTATATGTCGCACTGTATGGCGCGCCACGGCGCACACCCGTCTGACGGCATTCCATCGTGATTTGCCAAGTGATTTTCGGTATACATATAAATCCCTTCTCACCGGAGCGTATGAAACGCGCAATGGCGAGTTAAGCGGTTCGAGTACGGCTCTCCATTTACGTACTCGTCATTAAAAATGAGAGAAAAAAAAATGAACTTGTACGCTTTATTTTTTTTTTCCTCTCACTGGAGGTTTTCTTTCGATTTTAAATTGCCATTTCAGCTTTATTCTCCCCAATGATGAATGATACGAGAGTCACGGTAGATACTCGCTTGGTATGCACATGTTTTCATGGAAGCCAGGATGATAGAGACTCTTCGTGACTCACTGGGTTAGTAGGTAAATCGAGCGAAATCAATGTTGTATAATCCAGCATTACTACGTACGTCGATAGATGTTTTTTTTTATGTCATTCAATGAATTATTGATTGAAGATTTTCATTGCGATGGTGATCGCACGTGTGGGAAAAATTGTTTTTTCTTTTAATCATCCTTTTCAATGAAGGAATTTGCGTTTCATTAATTATCATGGCAATTATTGATTGCAGATCATTTGAATACGCGGAAAATATTGTGACTTAAGGGCAGTCAATTGCGTTGAATCAATGAGTGAATTACAATCATGCAGAACAATAAAAATAATACCAAAAAATGTTTCATGACTTGAACTAATGCAACAATATCAATATTGAATCTATACGAACCGTCAAAAACTGAATTTATTTGAGGTCGGGATAACGCCGAGGAATTCGAAAAACACTCCGGAAACCGCAAATGAATAGCTGAGAATACAGGAATTTTCTCATCAATGTTGACTCAACAATATTATCCAACATCTCAATAACGTCACATTGCCTGTCGTTTTCGTATTCTAGCAGCAACAAATGGAGTGAAGAAATCTGGATTTGGTATTTTTTTTTCGTTGCTTGCGCAAGAATTGATGAGAGATGCGAGAAGACCGATGATGATACATGAGATGAAGCCAAATGCACAGTACCACATGTATGATATCCGATAGAGATAAAATATGTCATCGTCGTTTATTATCTCCTTGTTATTTAAATTGTAAGTCCTTGTGACGTTGCAACCACTGACGTCGACATCGAGTTTGGGAATTTCCGGTTTTGGCTCGCCAAATCCAATCCACAGGGAGAGAATGGTACTGGCAATTAGTCCAGTAATAGCACTTCTTTCCTCGATCCTCTCTATAAACATTCCGAGGGTGTAAATACCCAGAAGAGGGCCACCGACCACTCCAAATATTGTCAGAGCGGCTTGCAGGAGATTACCCAAGTGTTCGGCTAGGAGGGCAACCCCTAGACAGATGATACCCATCACCAGTGCTAAGAATTTACTCATGTAGGCCGATTGGTCCTCACTGAAGGTTCTTTGCCTGGATGATAATTATTTTCATTCAAATAACAGCGAAAGCAATTGATTATCATCTAATTAATTTAAATTATATTCTCTAATAACGCACCGACTTTTGAGAAATGGTTTAACATAATCCTCTAGAATAATAGCAGCTGCGGAATTTTGCACTGCGGAAACCGTGCTTAGTCCAGCACTGAAAATCCCAGCAATGAATAATCCCGGAATTCCCGGATATTTGGATAAATTTTCCATGATATAGTGAGGCATCAATTGGTCGTTCGAGGCGATCACGCCCGCTGTTTTGGGATCGCATTTATTGTATTTTGAGTATAAAGCGAGACCAGAGAAACCTATACAACAAACGAGAATGATGGTGATGGGAAGGGAGAGCCATACTGCAGCTTGCGCCCGTTTTAAACTCCTAAAAAAAGTTTTTTTTTTTAATTCCAAACATTATAAAACACCTTGTGAGAATTCATTGGAATTTTACACTCAAATTAAAATCAATTTTTTCACCTAATCGTGAGCATTCTCTGCACTTGTATCTGATTGACTCCATACAATGATAAATAAATGAAAAATCCACCGATTATCAAATTCCACCAGGTGTGACGAATGGTTGGGTCAATCGAAGTGCTTAAAAATCAATTAGTCAGATATATTAGATGATAGAGGATAGAAACCAGCTGCTTACCTGTAGAAATCAATTCTCTTTCCCTCGGTGGCGATGTGCCAAATTTTATCAATTCCTCCAGCTTCAACAGCGGCAGTTACAATAACAATAACAACCGAGGCAATCATCAAAGCCCCTTGGAAGACATCGGTAATTAGTACTGCCTTGATTCCACCGATTGTCGAGTAAAATGTGCAGACGATTCCGATAATAAATACACTAATTGTCGTTGACAGACCGGTAGTTGCTTCAAGTGCAAGTGCCGGTGCATACAAAACAACTCCAGTGTACAATAGAAATTGTAGGAGAAATATTGTGCTCGTCACTAGTCGTGTTTTCACTCCAAATCGTTTTTCTAAATACTACAAATCATATTTCGTAAACAACGAAATTATTAATAAGATGATTTGACATTTTTAAAAAAATGTCAAAGGCGTAAATCACTTGGTATGCATTGATCGTACCTGAAATGCACTTGTATCTCCCAAATTGAAAAACACTGGGAGATAATAATAAGCAATGACTGGTGTAGCAATGGCATAACCCAGAACGATTACCAAATAATGGGTTCCATGGACATAAATCTCAGAGCTCACACCGAGGAGACTAACAGCTGACAGGAGTGAGACCATAAGACCAATTGCAATTGTCGTTACTCCCATGTCGCGATTAGCAACAAAAAATTCCTAGGGAAAAATAATAAATTGAATAAATGGACGAATGGATCTGTCGATACTTGACAAATGCCATTATTCAATGGATTGTCCTGAGGTTATGGGCCTCACCTCAGTCGTTTTCTGACGTCCACCGGTGAATCGGTAATACAATCCAATTCCTGAACTGATCGCCAATGTTCCCGCAATTATGACGTAATCGATCCATACTAATGTATCATACATATTTCCAATTTGTAAATAATATATGTATACATATATGTAATTATTCCCACATTTCTTTCGATTGTTGAACGAGATTTTATTTTGTTTTCACTGAAAAATTATTTATTCATCAAATTATGATGTGCTGATTCTTGATTAGCCAATGGCCTGGCATCAAGGACACTCGGCAAATTGAAATATTTATAACTCAAGATATTCTTGATCAGACCAAATAATATTTTTATCTTTCCGTAAAATGTTCCACGTTCGAAGCGATAGGATCAGGTGTGCGATCACGACTGTTTCACTACCTCATATCTACATCATTTACCTAGCCCTGGAGGTGTCCTTATCTCGATAGTAATAAAAAAAACTACAATCATTCGATTAGACATAGATAGGTTCACCAAAATTTTGAAAACTCTGACTGATTATTACTAGAACTTGGGGATAATCTCTAACACACATTTATGTCTTATAGACATTTGCTATATAAATAGTCTGTAAATTTTACGATGTAATTCAATTGTCAGACTGTTCTTTGATAAGAGGTAAGCCACCACACTTTGGCATTCCAGGAGAACTCTGCAATTTATGAGTAATAGTCAGTCAATATAGTTAAAAAAAAAAAGAACCTCCAAGGTCACTGAGAATTGTCTGGAAATTCTCTGGTCTTTGGTTAAAGGTGACGCGTGATCGTCGAGTTTTGTTTCCATCACCACAATCGCCTGCTTCTAGCATTCATTGAAATGAGAATAGTCTCTAATCAGCGCATTCCGGAAGAGAGAGGGCATTCTTTTGAAATTGTCGGACTCGAAATGGTGCACGGTTTTTTTAAAGAGTGGATAGTAGAAGTCACAAGTGGTTGGAGATAATCGAGGCAATGATTGAGTTATTGAGTTATTGAGTGGATGAGGGGTAGTGTGGATTATGGAATTTGAAATGAAAATTGTGGAGGGTGAGATTTGATGAAGGAAAATGATTTTTCAGTGAGAACGCTGGGCGTAGCGGCGACGACATGAAGCATGCAGCATGCGTGGTAGCGGTGTCACGGCTGCGCGGTCCTGCCTTCAACCCCTGGTGTCCGCTAGCCGCTATCTCGCCGTTCACGCCCTTCCCGGTGATCCCCTTTACTTCGTCGTCGAGGTCAGTATTCACATAATTTCATCCTCTCCCCCATACCACCTGTCTTTATTTCAAACTCCCCCCCAACGAAAATCCACTTGGTGATACACAAAAGATAAATCAACCAGCGGAAGATGTGAGTATGGAAAATAGAGGAGATGGAGGAAGAATAGAGATTGGATCGGTTGTAAATCGAGAGACAGCAGGTTTGTTGTTGGGTAGAAGTTGGAATGTTTTATGGGCCAGGTCTTAGAGAGATTTGCGGTGTATCGTGTGTCCTGGGGACACACGAGGAACGCGCGCGCCTCTGGAATGCCAAGCGCAGCTGCAGACGTTGTCGGCATTGCCACAAAACGAGATACCATAAATTCACTTAAATTCAGGGCTTTCCTCATTTTTTCATTCTTGAATTATCCATTTTCAAATATACTGACATATAGACCCCCATTGCAGATTTAGAATATAAAATTGGAATGCATTATTTTACAGTCAAAATCACGAGTGAAGGAAGTCTACGCCCAAACATGTATAATCCTAGGACAGCAGGGCATGCGAGATTGCGAATTATTTGGCCTGGCAATACTCTCAGGTAAGAATGCCAATTAATTTCTCCACTGATCGACATTGTCCATTCTTAAAATGGACTTGAGATTGGTCTCCAACGATTCCAAATAATTGAACACCCATTTTCCCCTGGTAACTGAATGGATAAGAGGCCTCTTGAGTCCCCAACTGGTTCCCCCGTTGTCCGCAGCTACTGGCACGACTGACGCGCCACCATTCGCATTGGGGCCCCTCGAGATGTTCAGCTCAAGCAGACCCTTGTCTCCTGTCTCTCTTCATCTCTCCAAACAAGCATACCTTCCTCTTATTCCTTCGTTGGTGTACTGTACAGCGCGCGCTTGGCATCGCCGAGGCTTCAGCCACAGTCCCTCCTTACCACCCCACTTCCTTCCACTGGCCCAACCAGGCTCCTCACCCCTCTCCTACCCTCCTGCATTCCTGGCAGCAGCCTTGCGGCACGTTTCTCCCGTATACTATACTTCATATGGAATTTTTATCCAATATTTCAAGTACAAATTTGCAATATCAGTAAATGCGTACAGTCCCAATTCCATTGGCTCGAGTTCTCATCTTCAGTATTTTTTTTTTTTCAAAGTTGTTGCTTGAGGTTTTCCCCTGGTCCACCGCCCATTCGACTATTTTTTTTTTCTACCATTTTTCATGAGTAATTTGGATGGAGTCTGGGGCATTGGAAGAAAAATGATGAAATTATAGTGTACAAGCTGGGTTTGCAATGGGGGCCCTAGCCAGGACCAGGGCCGCCCATCATACAGGAGAGTCCCATCTCTCCTCTTATGTGGTATGAGGCAACTGGTGGGCTAAAAATAGAAATCGCTGGATCCTGGGGCACATCCCGTCTTCCCAACGTGCAATGGGTTTGGGCTCAGTGGAGAAAAAAAAATGAGAAAAAGAATTGAAAAGAGAGGAAGAGAGAGAGGGAAAAAGGTGGTATGGTGTCTCTCAAAAACGGGCCCCTCGGGAGTTATTTGGAGGCCTCGAGGGGCCTCATACCAGCTGCCTCCTGATGCGTGACCTTCACGACCAATCCCTTAACCATCAATCAAATATTTTCAAATCAAAAGCCAAATATGTGGAAAAAAAATGGGTAAACAAGTATTTTTGTAGAGAATGGACAATGGGAAAATGCTTGTGAAATATGTGATGAAAAATTTGATAGGTTCGCGTGGGGGTGGTGAGAAATTGGGTATCGATGAGTTGTGGAAAAGAGGAGGGGAAGTAAATGGAAAGAATGAGAAAGAGAAAACAGAAATATTGGAGGAAGAAGTTGAGGAGGTGAAAAGAGGAAGAATAAGAATGAGAAAACGCCTGGTGGGTAAGACGGTAGCCCCGGTGATTTGTATAGGGTGCTTCGTATTCCACCTCCCACCTCTTCTTCCTCCATCTTTGTTGCACTTTAATGCCCACCGGATGGTACAAGGGGGACGACTGCTCGCGTTGACTTCAGTCGACTTCTCCGACTTCTTGGGGCCCCAATGGAATGTGGGAGGGTGAGAGTTCCGAAGTATGTGAGCCAGCGAATGAGGGAGGGAAGGGGAACAAGTGAGGTCCCAGAGCGCTCGAAGGTGAGTCAGGGTGGGGGAAAATAGGCCTAGCAGGTCCGGACATTGGTGCAAAACCCGAGGTGCCTAACACGCCACACTGCCGCACACCGTCTCCTCATTTTTATCTCCTTTTCCAACCACTCATGAATTTCTTCAATAAAAATAAAAAAAAAAATAAAATAAAAACATTGGTCAAAGCATTCTCCTTCCGAGCCTTAATCACGCACTTTACGCTTCACATTGATTTTTAGTTTTGTTTTAATGATAGGGAATCAAATGAAATTTAATGTTTTATTTTTCACCGGTTAGCTAGCTGTTGAATGCGAGATGTGCGAGATGGTGGTTTCTCTGTACCGCGTACCTTGTATCGAGCAATCAAAGAGGTGTGCTGAGAGGGAATGGGCTGGAGGTATAGGGGGAGAGAAGAGATCATTACGGGTAGTAATTGCGGTTACGGCACATTGCCAGTACACTATGTCTATTCCCCCATTGTTTAATTCGCGGAAACGCGTGGGCTCCATGGAGATCGTTCACTTCCTACACGTTTTTGTCACGATCTAGTTATTTTATTGTAAAAACAAAGATTTATGTGTGGGTACGTTTGAGAATTTGAATTAGTGTGGTGGAGATGGCTGAAGGGAGGGGAGGAATATGGGAGAAGGGGTGGGCTGTGATTTTGGAGGCCCTTTGGGCCTGCATTCCCCAGTAATAGCGAGGTTTACACATATATCTACCTCTCGGGTAACACAGGTGCCTCAATCTCTCCTTTTTCTTTTTCACTCCATCATTTTCTCATTTTGATTATCCCCTTTTTACTTATGCTTTGTTTTTTTCACCATTTTATTTCCAGACGGCGAGTATCTGTTCGTGGATCCGGAGAGTAAGCTCAGTAAATACGCACCAAAAAATTGGCGCAGCTCGCACACATACGGGCTTGATAGCAGTGGACGACCAGCTTTTGTACTTTATTTTAGAGTTCGATATTACGTGGATACACCTTTACTGTTAAGCGATGAAACAACGAGGCATCACTACTACCTCCAGCTGCGCGACAATGTTGTCCGTCACGGAGGAGGTGTTGACAGCCTCCACCCTCACCATCCCCTCCACTCGGGAGGTATGGTGTCGTGCCTTTTGGCCCTGGCGGGTCTTGCCCTGCAGGCAGACCTGGGTGACTTCGCCGAGGAGCGTCACCGTCCCCACGCCATCGGTGGCTATTGCAAATCAACGGATTACCTTCCCCCCCACATGTGCGTCGAGGCAAATGTCCTCGGTATCCTTGCGTCACAACACCGCGACAATCGTGGCTTGTCACGCGAGGAGGCAGAATTACAGTACATTCGCGAGGCGATTCTCCTGGAGGCGCCGCTCAACGCTCACCTCTATCGTCTCAGACGTACGAAGAATGAGCCTGGACCCGGACGTATTCTCCTAGCAATATGCGCACGGGGCGTTCGTGTTTACACCGAGGAGGAAACACCACGTGTATTTGCGTGGAATAACATTGGTAAATTGTGCTTCGATCGTAAAAAATTTGAGATACGCGCGGTCGACCAGCCCGATAAATTGACATTGTACAGTGGTTGCGATGATAAAAGTAAATTATTACTTGGTTTGTGTCGCGATACACATCAATTTTCGATGGCTATTGCACCAAGAGTTACTGAGGCACGTAAACGCGAGGAAGAGGAGAGAAAAGTACTGCGCGATTGTTACATGTATCCAGCGAGGTGTAAATTGAGTATGACTGCTAGGGATACGAGGGGTGATCAGAGGATATCCGTTATTTCTACAACATCGTCCAATACAACTTCTGGTATTGTTAGCGATCGTGTGCACAGTGAGGATGAACCTGATACAGCCCCAGCATCAACTGAGTGTCTTGCTAAACTCGTTGAGACATCTAATCCATCGCAGAGCCACTCCAGGCCAGCCTCTCCTATTACTCCCCACGATGACGTCGATGGTAATGGCTCACCTGGAAGACTCGTACCCAATAATACCACTCTGGCAGTTGGTACAGAGGGCTCTCAGTGCAGCAGTAGTTGCAGTACAGTCGTTGTTGTTAATCCCCACGTGGGATCGAGCGCTCATCGACATCGAAGAACATCAGCGAGTTCTAGCCTCGAGCTCGGATACTCGCACACAGCCCAGAACTCGGTTGTCTCCTCCGAAGCTGTTAGCTTTCCAGGAGCTATTTATGATAGATGTAAAAAGACTGGCAAATTTCAGGATAACACTTCCGTGGACGACGGAATGACAAGTGTCGACATGGTGAGTGAAACAAGTGGGATCTATACCCTCCGCAGCTCGGCAATTCAAGACGAGCGAATAACGGAGCTCTATCCACCCTCGGAAATTCTCCAATGCTCCGTCCAATCGACAACGGACGAGGCATCAGTGACCTCTGGCTTCTACACTATTCACAGTGGTTTGCGTTCCGAAACGAGTGACGTTTACACCGATACGAATTTAGAAGACCAAGAGCCAATATACAGTATCTGCAAGGGTGACGATGATAACGTGCGTGAAACCACCTCCACCACCAATTTGAACAGTATCGATGATACTCGCTCTCGCAGCAATAGCATCCTCAGTGCGTGTAGCTTTAGGGGTGACGGCAGTGACCCATCCAACATTGGTCCCCGACTTTCAGCCGACGAGCTCTCCGATTTAATTGTTGGTCGTTATCCACCACGTAAGACCATAAGTGCATCAATGGATTCTGATTGCGATTATGTCACAATGCCACCGCCACCGCCACCACCCAGGATAGACAGCAACGAGAGAAAACTACCACCCCCACCTCCATATCCATCAAATATGGATTTTACAGCTCTGGATGCATCACGACTTGCTGAGAGAGAACCACCTCCTCCACCTCCCTATAATGCCCCAAGGGCTGATTTTATACCCCTACCACCCAGAAGAACTGATCCACCACCACCTCCGCCACCCTACAATTCACCCCGCGAAATCATTCAAATTCCACCACCAACTCCACCTCGAAATGACGCTGTAACACCCCGAGAGCCACCACCTCCACCTCCCTATCCAGAAATAACAGCGGAGAGACGAAAAGCCATAACAACACTCTATCCAGAGAGTGAGGATGAGATAATGGCTAGATTAGCCAATCTAAAGACATCGACATTATCAGCAAAACAAATTCCCCCAATTCCAGCACCAAAACCACCCCCCAGAATTCAACCACCAACATATCCTGGGGACAAGATGAAGCCAACACCTGTACATGCACCCGTTGCTGCTCTGGTAGTTGGGCCAAATAATTACTTGGATGTACATGCTTCTAGGGGTGTTGGACCAGTGAATTCAGCTGCTCCACCACCTCCACCTCCACCACCATTACCACTACCACCACTACCACCACTGCCAGCACCACCAGCTGGCAATACTGGTAATGCTGGCAATCTGACAACAGTCTATACAAGCCAGGTGGCGAGGTCACAGATTGAGCAGTACAGACAGCAGTTGTACTCTGACGTTGATTATGTAATGTTCCCTCTGAAGGATCCTGCTGTATCCAAACAGGAATACATCGATGCTAAACAGGGCTCTCTCCTCTCTGGACTGGCAACAGCTGCTTATCTACCACCACCCTATCCAGCTTTTAATAATAAATCATCGGTGATGTACAGAAGTACACCGTATTTGGCGGGTTCATCATTCTCATCCATGTCCAAATACGCCTCCAATTTGAATCTGAGCGATACGAGTTTAAATAATTATCCCATTAACGGTAATTTGAATAGTCATTATGCAGCAAGTACAAGCTCTTTGTATAGTGGTGCAACTTGTTCCTCGTCAATTGGTAGTCACAGTTTGAGGAGAGAACCCCCAGCTGTACCCGCACACCCTTATAGCCAGACATTTTCAAGAACGAGAAGCGATGAGAATATTCTCAAGTGTTTTGAGACCCCGAATAAAATTCACATCCAGCCGAAGCACACGCGACGTCTTCCACCACCGCCTCCACCACCTCCCTATGAAATTCAGAGTCTAGAAAAGAATTATCCGCTTCCTTCTACACCGTCCACTCAATTAAAACAAAATAGTACCACCACCGGCGGCAACACCATCACCAACACCACCATCACTACCACTACTACTACTGAATCCGACAAGGACGACAAGGAAGTGATGCTGGACATTCGCAGCCTCCGAGAGAAGAGTAAAAACCTCGATCTACCCCTCATTTCAGCCCTCTGTAATGATCGTTACTTATTGAAACAGACAAAAGCATTTGTCCTGCCAAAGCACCCAATTGATGAAGCTAATACATCCGAATCAGGTATTAAAAGCCCAAGAAGCACGACTAATAGTTGCACTAGTAGTAAAAATAAATATCCTGTTAGTGGTTTGTCATCGACACAGATAACAAAAAATTCGAAGAAGACAGTAACAAGTGCTCACCGGCATCCCTCTGAAATTATCAAAGGTAATGCTTACCAAGTTAATTCAACCTCTAGATTGTCAATAAAAAAAGATCCCTATAGGGTGTCTCACTCGTGAGAAATAGAAAGATCAAAAAAAAAAAAACGGGGCCGTGCTTCTTCACTCAGGGTGCCATTTCAAATTTACTCAATCATAAATTGGTGTAATAATCTATAGAATGAGAGAAAGATGTAACATGACAAATGGGACAAATTGTCAATTCTATCGATATTATCGTCATAAAACAAATATCTTGTTACAGTGACAATGCTGTCATTTGCTCAATTCAACAAACATTATTTTTTTTATGATGAGTACAATATCATACTCTATTTAAATGAAAAACTATGAAAATCAACAATATGTAGAACCAATAGATTTGGCGTGCGATACATTGTAACTGCAACGACGTACTTTTTCTTTTTTTAAATATGTTAAATAATTTTAAGTGAATTTTGTCGTCGATTCGGTGGATCGTTGCTTCAATCATAATGTGCAAAGATTTCCACTATAGATATTTAAGATAATCATGTATTTTTATACTCGAAGAGATGAACAAATAATGTCTACTTAGGTATTGGTATATGCTATGGAGACAAAAAATATAGTTGAACCATTTACTTCTTGAATTGACTCTTTTCATTATTCCATATCAAGAAACTCATCATCACCGAACTAAAAAGCATTGCCCATTTCGCACATTAAATTCACTGGAGTCTTGTCCAATGTCTAGACAAGTGAACAGTTAATTTAATATTTTCAACGGATATATTAGAAGAGTAGCTGAGTAAAAAATCAAGGTTTCAAGCGTTAGCTATTGCCCCAGTACAACATGGAAATTTATCCGTGGACTAGGGCAATACGATTGGTTGCTATTGGTTTGTGGTGCTGTTTCGCGTCAACTGCCATCATCCACATTATGAAAAATTGAAGAATTGTTCTTCAAGATGAAATTCTAAGGCCTTTCCTGACTGCTATTCTGGTCGAGATGGGGAAATCTTCATAAAACGGATGTGCAATGGGCTCGTCATGCCGATGAGAATAGGTCAATTCAATATTTTCCATAAATTTCTCGCCGTGGAAATTTTCTGCTTTGCATGGAAAGTAGCGTCCTACGTCCTCAATTGGCGAGTGTATGGTAAAACAAGGATAAGGTACTGTGATTTTCATTCGATTTTTGACGTCTGTCTTAATCTCTGCAGAATAAGATGAACACTGACTTGTGGGGTCGTTAGGGTCAATATGCGAAACCATTGTCGTTTTTTTATCCCCACAGTCACATCTGAATTGGTTGTTTTCCCAGACATGCTTAACGTCATCATGTGCCGCGAAAATCAAAGCGGCACAATAATTCCTTATTGGATGAAAGCGATCGAATGGATGCTCCATGTATTTGTTGTGTTTCACATCCACACCATAGAATTTACACCGAAAACGATAAGAGCCATCACTTAATAATTCATCCTCATTTATGATGATTGTAGTGTCTACCCGTACGGGTTCATTGGTACTATAATCCCACAATCTATTAAAAGGGTCTTGAATATTAATATTATTGCAAGCGACGATTGTTCTTCCCACGGGGCCGCCAATGAGACGTGGAAATTTTGGTCGGCATATTAGCGGTGTAGACAAAATCGCTATTGTTGTTTTCATATTACAATGCGGCTTTGGACCAATGCGACAATAGAATCCGGGCTCGAGCAGATTTTCATCTGAAATATAGTGATCATTCTTCTCGACTGTCAATGCTGTTGCCAAGGTATTGGCACATCGATTAACACATTCATCATCGGTGGGCGGTGTGAATGAATCGACTCGTATTGCCCTTTTACTGCATTTATTTGCTTGTGTTACACCTTCATTTGTTGTTAAAATTTTCAATTCGGGAATATTATTTATACCATTTCCATTAAGGAGATCCTCGAGTGGACCCTTTTGTAATTTAGCAATAAGTGCCGTGTCATGGTCCAACAGACTCTGATCGAAATCCACATAGAGCAAAATAGACAATGTAAATGCTAGAATAATGGCTAGTGTAGCCACGTACAGAGTATATTGCCAATTAAAATTCTTCATTCCTATATTCTTCGAAATTAATAAAAATATAAATAGACTTCCATTACTGTGTAATGAAATTAATTTCCGATGTTATTTATCATTACGTAAAGTTCAGTGATTTTCTAGGCTTGTACTTGAGGAGAACAAGTCTATGCATCCACGGCTCGTGTAAAGTTCTTTGATAAGTTTCAAGTTCTCGGTTGATATAACTATCTTTGGCAAATATCATACAAAATGCTGTCACTGCGAAAGTTAATATAGCCAGAAATTTGAGCATCTTTTGTCAGTCTATGTACTATTTTTATCCAGACTATATTGTTAGACATCTCATCTGAGAGAAGGGAGAAAATTCGTGTCCATTGAGAAGTCAATAAATACATTAAATTCACGATTATCCAGAGAATTGAAAGATTAGTCAAACGGAAAATGAAGATTTTTGAAAGTGCTAATTGCCCACGTGGAAATGAATAATGCCTAGCTGCATACGAGGCGATAATTTTTAGCAATTGAGAGAACACGAGAAATGATTATTAAGTCATTGGACGGCAGGCAGATGAATGATAGATGTTATTGGTAATTTGAAAAAAATAATGCTCATATTATAATAAATTGATTGAGCTATAGGAATGTGGGCCGGAATGTATCAGAATTATCAGCAGCAAAACATAGATCTGAATAGCCTGGAATACCTTTCGGTACATCACGCCAGTCTTTGTAATGCTGTCGTTTAGGTCTGAGCACTTGAGCTAGTTTTTCCTCATAATACGAATCGGACTTACCACCCCCCATTATATCAATTAAATTGCGCCCTGTTATACTACGATGTGCTGATTCAATTGATCGTTTATTTCGCGGCACTTCACGAATTTTATGATTTTCGTCGAGTTCGCGCACTACATTCGCTGGTTGCTCTGTCATATTAAAGGTGATCCAACGTTTACCCAGTATATCAAGCGCTGACAATACCGTGAACTTCGGTTTGTCAATATCATACGGAACAATTTTAGGTTTGATGTAATGAGTATAAGCTTTAAAAAGTGCAGGGAATTGTATTGTCAAACATGTCTCGAAATATTTATCCTTTAGAATTCGTACAGCTGGGGTGTTGTTGCCTGTACACTGGATTCCACCCTCGGGATTCACAACATAAAGTTCTCCACGAACAGCCCAGATGTACCAATCAAAAGGTAAAACGATAATGAAACGATCACACCTTGTTGGCGTTGATTTATCATAGATTTTAAAAACAGTGGGATGCAATGCTGATTCCTTAGTTGCATAATCTATAAGATTTCCAATATCACAAGGCCTATAGATATGACGAATATAAATCATAATACTAATCACTAAAAACGTCACCACTAGGAAGAAAACTGTCTCCATGCGTACAAAGTAATTATTTTCACCCGAGAGTATTGGTAATAATTATTAAAAAGTTCAATACTATTTTTATGTTTCCCCTTATAATTCAATGGTATTGTGTTACAAAAGCATAAAGTAGTGGATTTCATAAAATTAAAGGGAAATTACTTTTGAATTTTTTAAGATATTAAGCACAATTATGCTGTTTATTCAATTTTGAATAAATCTGAGATAAAACCGTACAGAGGAATATCAGCGGATATATACTGCATTTATGGGCAAGTGTTGTACAAATTTACGGATTACGTCAAAGAAATTGAAAGAGTAGCTGAACGAAAAACAAACGATCTATAAAATTTGAATTACCCACGACGTAATTGAAAATGCCCAATTAAATATGGCATTGTTGCTGGGTAAATAAAATAATATAATGACATTATCATGAGTACGGAATAAGCAATATCTTGGGCGATTTTTGGATTATATATAGATTATATATCAGCGATTTTTTGTGGGAATTATATTTTTTGGTGTCGAGCGATTAGCAACAAAGAGAAGATTATTCTCAGTATGAATATTATAATAATGAATATTCGTCAATAATGGATGGACATTTGAATCGATATATAATCGATATGATTGGAGTGTCGCGTTTTCATTTTTCAACAGGAAAAACTCTGCTCTTATCCACGAGTTGTAAGTGAAAATAATAATAGAACGATGTATATAGTGTAATAAGTAGGGATATCCAATAAATCCACGTGTAAAATCCATTAGCTACTTTTACGTTCTACTACACTCACGTTAAGAAATAGGGAGAGAAATGGATATTCAAGATGCTTTTAAGCGCGCAGCATTGTATGAATCATGCAAGCAGTCCAATATCCTTTCTCATATTGATTTAGAAAATACCGATACAGAATCGCTTGTTGAATTGGTTAATCACAATAATGCACATTCGATACGCGAATTGCCAATCATCGTTTCAAAATTTGTGACGAAGGGACTTCTAACACTAGCTATTCACAAAGCTCCTCACTTACAGAATTTCATAGATGCAAGTAAAATACGAATTTGCGTTGAAGAGGACGAAATGGCTTTTCTCGTTGCTACATCAACAAGCGTTCCCACAAGTCTCACGTCAATCGTAATTAAAAATATCGCAATCAATGCACTTGGTACTTCAATTGCACAAATGAAGGCGGATTTATTGAATACAACGTCGGGTGGATCAAACTATGGTAAATCACCGGTAGGCATAAGATCGAAGATTCGTTTAACTCCCTTTAAGAAGACAGAATTTAAATCGGCAAAACCATCGCCAAGTTACAGTTCCTTCGGTGATTACCCACATCTTTCTTCTAAACCAGGAGATAAACGACCCCGAAGTCAAGGAGATGAGCATAAAATTGATAATCAAGAGATACCAGCTAAACGTGCCAAATCCCACGAGTCAATTGATCAACTCTCATCCACTTCGCCTCCTGTTCAATCACAAAATCAAGACAAAACTGGAGTTACAGATAATTCTTCTAGTGAGATGCAGCCAATCTCAAATAACCCAGAGATAGTCGACAGTTCCGAGGGAAATCCTGCTGATGAAATGAAAACTCCATCGTTCATGCACGACATTGAAACTAACGGCAACAGTATTGTCAGTCATGATTATGATGAGAATCATATTGCAAAGCAAAATCATGATGGTTGTGCGATGGAAAGTGAGACGCAAAATGTCCCAAATTCACCGGAACAAGTCAATCCACAAAAATTAAATGATCTTTAAACCGAAAATATTCCGGATAAAGACGAAGAAAAATCAGCCAATAAATTGGATAATTCGATGGGTCGACGCCAAAAAAGATCAACTTCGTTCCTATTTTCCGATGTCGTATGAGTGAATTAAAAAATTTTTAACTCTTCTATTTTTGAAAAAAAAAAAAAAAAAATTAAGCAAGAGTGGGCAATGAACAAATAAATCAACCATTCGCGTGTATTAAAAAAAAAATAAAAGCCACATGAAAGTGAGCTCTACATATTTCTCATTTCTCCGAAAAAAACTGTTGAATTACGCGATTGAATGTAGAGCTTTTTTGTGTTCTATAATTTTAGCATGATAATAAGTTATAATTTTTGAATCCGGCAATTATATTGGATAATAGTAATGTGGGTATTATTTATTAGTTATTCATGCAGATGGGGGTCAATAGTTTGAATCGCTGAACCGTGGCTAATTAATTGGACGATACCTCCTGTATTAGGATCGAGTTGTGTAATAAATACGTGTATCAATGTCAGCATTATTATCAGACTTAGCAGTAACATAATAACAAACGACTTGTTGAAAATGCATAGTAATCCAAAAAGGCTTACCAAAGTCGTTAAAGTAATGTTAATAAGATTGTCGAAATTTATATTAAAGTTTGCGTTGCGGAGTGTTTGAAGGAATGCATTGGTTGCCGGAGTCTCTTGGATACCCATTTTTCTTGTAAAAACTGGGATATATACTATATTATACTGAAAAATTATACATCAGAATCCTCATCGTCGTACTCATGGCTTACACTAGCTTCATCTGGTGAATCTGGCCTGGTTACCAATTCCGTAAATATTTGACGTGTGTGCGGTTTCGTTGGTGTTTTCGGAAATGAGACTGGATATTGGGAGACAACTGGAATCGGGTGGGGAATATGATTCTGGGTTTCTAACTCATTGTCAACGGATGTTAAACGATAATCGGGACAATCGTCTGTCAGATTACGTATAAAATCGAATACCGTATTTCGGGGTAGCGTTTCAAAAAGTGGTGGCATATTTGTTATGGCATAGTCTTTAACATCGACATCCGTGATCGACGTGTCACCTTTGAAAGAAGTGTAAAGGGCGCTGTTCTTTTTTTGTAGCTCAGAAACTTTGGCCGGTTTTTTCTTTATAATTAGATGCATGAGAAAACATTGTTCACCATATAATGCGCTTCGCTGTATAGCATTCATTGCAATTTATTCAAATAACTACTACTATATATAAAAACTAAATAAATTAATCTGTCAAATCTCTTCAATCCCATTTAGACTAGCATGAATTATTCAATTTAAATACCAATTAACTGTACTTATTTTGTAATTATATATAGCACTCGTTTTTTCAAAATAAAAAATGCTAAACATTCCAAGTCTCTTTCATGAATAATTATGAATTATTTTGAATTACTTTGAATTACTTTGAGTGAGTATTGAGGTACGTTAGGAAGTTTCTCTACCAGTTTCAGATATTTCATACCATTGAAAGGTAATTTTCTTCCAAGCAGATCTTTTTCAGCCTATTTTAATTATTTACAAATCTCTAATCAGGTGTACTCCGAGTGAAGAAAAAAAATAATTATTCCGACGCCATATGTTTTACAATCCCACGTATAACATACATCAGTTTATCCTATAGTGCATGCGCACAATGATGCAGTCAAGCTGCCATTCAGTGTGGAGTGTAAAAAATAAATAGTCGATTGAATTTTTTAAAGATAATTCAAGCTGAGAAAGTGAGCACAAGGCCGAATGTCGTGTTTGACGAACGTATTGAGACGAAGATACGCACGTCAGGAGGCAGCAGGCAGATGAGTAACGATGTTCAATATAAAAATGAGAGTAAATCGCGTGAATGGCGAGATGAGTTGATACGACAGGGAAAGGTAAATGTTAATTAACGGATTAAAATGAGAAGATCATACGGTAATTCTGGAGACAGAAGTAACGAGAGTCTCGAGATTACGAGACGATTGTACAGGTGAATTTAATATATTTCATATTTTTTTCCGATTTACGTGGCAATCATGTAATTCCGTTGTCAACTTGTGACATAACCTAGAATTTTTTTTTCACTTGTGCTGGGAATTTAGGGGAGCAACTGATCTTGCAAAAAGACTCGACGAGCAGAAAAGTTGTGCCCTCACAACATCGGATATTTTTACACCTTCCGGGGAAATTTTGAGGACTAGATTGAAAGATTATTGCGAACGACTTATTCTCAAGGATCCAGTAAATCATGCCAGGAAGATTGAGGAGTTATTGTGGAGGAGAGGATTTTACGATGTTATTGCTGCTGCCAAGAAACTTAGGAAGGTAATTATTGAGGAGTGAATGGAGTGATTAAACGAGATGAATGAATTTCAATTTAGGGGAGTGATTTTTACAGGCAAATATCTGGAGTGATGCAGAAAAAGCACTGCTCTCCACCCACTTGCACGTGGGTGTTGGATTTTACCATCACTTGATACTCAGATTACAACAGGAATCTAGGCTTGATTTATCTGGAATTGTGGACTTTGCATTCCCTGGACAGAAAGATCCAGTAGTGATTGTAAGTCCTCGTATTATATTACGGAATCACTTAATTGCAATAATTTTCAATCGTTTTGCTATTGAATTTTATTTCAGAGGGAAACAAAATCTTCAAAGCTGCAATCAGAGGAATTTCGTCAATGTGTCATGAAAATAATTCACAGAAGTTTAATATGCTTGGGTGATCTGGCCCGTTACAGATTGGACTTGGACTCTAACTGGGATCCCATGATTGCCACGAGATACTACAAAATGTCAATAGCCATAGATCCTAACATTGGAATGCCGCACAATCAACTGGGAACATTGGCAGGCAATAAAAATTACGGTATTGACGCCGTTTATCATTATCTGAGATGTATCCTGTGCTCCGAACCCTTCGAGGGGACTGAGGGCAATCTCAAGAGAATCATTTCCACTCATTCCTATTGCGGAAAGGAGAAATTACCATCTCAACGCTGTACTGCGAGGTTATTTACATTGTTGCAGAAATGGGATAATGATTCTTCGAGTATCGAACGGATAAACGAAGACTGTGAAAATTTATTGAGAGAAATAGAGAACAGTTTGATATTTGAAAAAATCGAAACTCACTCACGAAGTTCCCCCATAAAAAGCGAAACAATTGATGATTTTTTCTCAATCCACAAAGCCGAGCAGTCCCCCCATCTGAACGAAGACGTGGTCTTTAAAATGGTTGCCATTTGTCTCATGTCTGTTTCTAAACTCCAATCAAAAAATTCTCCTCACGTCCAGAGCGTCATCGCTTTCATTCTATCACTCCTCTCCAAATTAATTCAAATAACAATAATTCATCTTCAGGAATCAATCATTGAATCATCTTTGTTGAATGGAGAAGACCTTGAGGATAATCTCAACGTCAATCTTATAATTTCTGAGACTGAAAAAGATGACAATGAGAAAGACAAACGACAATCAGCCTCAAATGAGAGGAAGAAAAATGGAAATCTGAATGGAACGCCGAAAAAACCCCGAGACAAATCCAAATATCTATTGAGAAAACTCCGGCGACCTAGAAAGAGATTTAACAGCTCAGATTCCGATGGAAGTGATATTGATGGCCCTGGAATAGGTTCCTCCAGCGACGAACTTAATTCCGATATTTCGGAGACTGACGAAGAGGATGAAATGAGCCAGGGACGTGATGATCCATCGGAGGACGAGATGGAAAATATCTTGAACGAAGAAACACAACCTGAAGCTCCAAAAATCGAAACGAATGGTCACACGGCTCCAGAGGACGAAAACACTTCCACCAAAAATAATCCTCAGGTGACAGTCATTGAACAAAATGAGAAAAATCTATCAAATGAAGATGACAATGCCCAGTCCCCAGATCTGACATTCATAGCTCGACTGAAAAAGCGAAATCTCAGCTCAAAAGATCTATTGAGCATTTTCTGCAGAGAGGAATTGCTACAGTCGATCAAGATCTCCTTCGACTGGATTAAGAGTCACCCTGAGATGGTTAAAATTATTGCAAGGAGCTCGAGGACTCTGTTGCAGAGAATCGTTAATCTATCGAATTTACTGATGATTGAAGTGGACGAGGTTTTAACGGATTTGAAGAAAGATTCTGGGGTTTTGAGGGACAAAGATTGTTTTATGGGGTATGTGAGGTCAATCCCACTGCCTGAGGATAGTGATCTCAAGGGTCTAGACGTTTTGAAGGGAGCACACGAGGATTTGAACTGGGGAATTTTGCGGAATTTCAATATAACCAGAGTAGAGCAGGTATTATTAAGAACTCAGAAAATGGTTTCTCTCGGGGAATATTTGACGAGGGTCGAAGAAGCTGGAGTCAGCTTCGACGAGACACAGAAAGTCCTCTCAGTAAATGATCCCAAGGATGAGGAAATTATTGCGGTGAAAGAAGAGGGGGGGTGTGAGAAGGAGAGTGACAATAACTCGGATCAGTCGAGAGGGAAATTGATGAGACACATGGGGAAATTGTGGTTGAAGGCCGAGGTCAGGGCCCTGGAAAGTCGTCTCAGATCAAAATTAATGTCGGCATATCTGGTGCCTGATCATGAGGCTCTGGCCAAATTTATGCCTGTGCTCAAGAAGCTCATGTATGCCAAAAAATTTATCATCGTTATTCCATCTGTTGTTGTTCAAGCTTTGGACGAAGTGAAACGCACTAGCAGTCAAGCACGTGAAGCAACAAGATGGTTGGAGACTCAACTTCGAAAAGGATCGAGATTTTTGAGAGCTCAGAGGCCCCACGAGCACTTGGCTCTGCCCTACATCAAGGGGCCAAAGCCCAAGGACAAGGAGGCTTGGTCATTCTTTCAAATTATCGAATGCTGTCATTATTTAACACAACAAAGCAATGTGGGACTCACCAGTGAATCTGGATCTCCTGTCGTTACACTCCTGACGGGCACTTCCGTTGAAGAGAGGAAGTCATCGACATTCAGCAGCGATGGTCTGGCTAAAACAGCGGGAATAAATCTTGAACACATTGAGTCCTTTCACACAAAATGGAAAACATCGAGCAAGAGCCACGGTTGAAGGTATTCCATTAATCATCGAGTTTCCTGGCTACAATTGACATGATCAAGTCGTCGATCAAGTGACCAAGAGGGCTATAAACTGAATCACTCGTTGAAGGATATCACAAACAATCTTGATACATTGAAGACAACGCACGAATTCAGTGGGTTGGAAACCCAAGAGGAATTAACCGATCATTTATGGTGGAAATATCTCCATAATATCTCCATTTTTCTGTTCTCTTCTCTGTATTTCTCTTTCGAGGATTTAATAAAGTATTCTTTTCATTTATATCGATGAATCTTTTGTATCAAAATAATATTCTTGGTCAGAAGTTGTTTTTCTTTCAATTCTCAGAAATCTTCCTAGTCGGAAGTTCCCGGCGTCATTGGCGTCACCGGCTTGTACATATCTCTGTGTGAGATCGTTATATATATATATATATGTACGTATTGAACTATTCTTCACATAACCTCGAGTCCAACAATCCAACACACACAACACGGCAAGTCACTACGAGGTAAATCACCACAATAATTGTTGAAACTCGGCGATGCAACTATTGCGTCAGACTATTTCACCACTCGACTAAAAAAGCGGGCGAGCGCCTCGTGCGCACGTTTTTTGTATTATTCATTGTTATTCGCTACAAAATTTTTGGTGCACGACTTTAGAGTAGTTATATATATATCGGAGTGATCAAAACTGCACCATATTTTTTCTGCATTTTTTACAGGAGTGAGTGAAATGCCGGAGGAAAATCTCTCGAAACTGTCGCTAGGTAATATTCCACTCGAATTATTTTTCTCTCACACATTATGTTATCAATTGTGCATTAGACGGTAAGATAGACATGACACGTATTAAAAAATTTATTGGACAGATCGAAGGCTCTGATTGGCTACATTTTTTTTTGTCCAATTTTTACACGGAAATTATGGGAGATTTTCGATTTTTTTTTGCGAGGCAATTAATATTAGTACATAATCACTGATTCTTGAAAGGATATATTTTGAGAAAGTTTCCTCGAACATAAAAATATAAAAGAATAAAAACTGAATTCTATTGAATAATAATATTCTCATACAATAGGAGGCATTTACACCTCCGAAAAAATAGGTAACGACGAGACTGGAGATGGCACGGAGGAAAAACCATTCAAAACCATACTCCAGGCGATGCGTTTCGCAAAGAAAGAGCCCTTCCCACCTATATATCAAGATTCAAAGGATGATTCTAAAAAGTACGAGCCTGCGGCTAAATCCCAACTGAAAAAAATCCAAAAGATCTGGCAACGTGAACAATACAAGAACGAAGAAAAGGAGAAGAAACTCCAGGAGGATGACGTAAAACGTCTGAAGAACCTGGAGGAAGCCAAATCCGTCGTCATCAAGGAGGACGAGTCACTGCCCCCAGCGACTCGCATAAAAATTCAATTGGGTGGAGAGTTCAGGGACAAGAGAGTGAAAATTTTCGGTTGGGTCCACAGACTGAGAAGACAGGGAAAAGCCTTGATGTTCATTACCCTGAGAGATGGAACAGGTTTCCTTCAGTGTGTTCTCAATGATAAATTATGTCAGACTTACGATGCACTTGTTCTGAACACCGAAGCCTCTGTCGAGCTCTTCGGCACCTTGACGATCGTCCCTGAGGGAAAGACAGCACCTGGTGGTCATGAATTGGCCGTTGATTTTTGGAGATTGATTGGAAATGCTCCTCCGGGGGGTGCAGACTCAATTTTGAACGAGGAGGCTCATCCTGACGTTCAACTGGATAATAGACACATTATGATTCGAGGGGAGAACACCTCCAAAGTTCTCAGAATGAGGTCTGTCTTACTCCAGGCGTTCAGAGATCATTATGAGGCTCGCGGTTACTGCGAAGTCACTCCCCCAACTCTCGTCCAGACCCAGGTGGAGGGAGGATCTACACTCTTCAAGTTGGATTACTTCGGGGAAGAGGCTTTCTTGACTCAGAGCTCTCAGTTGTACCTGGAGACTTGTATTCCTGCCTTGGGAGATGTTTACTGTGTCGCACAGTCTTACAGAGCTGAGCAGTCAAGAACTAGAAGGCATCTTGCTGAGTACAGCCATGTGGAAGCCGAATGCCCATTCATTACGTTCGATGATTTGTTGGATAGTCTGGAGGATCTGGTTTGTGATGTCGTTGACAGGGTTTTGAAGTCGCCATTCGGCAGCTTGGTCCAGGAACTCAACCCTTCATTCCAGCCTCCCAAGAGACCATTTAAAAGAATGAATTATACGGAGGCTATTGACTATCTCAGAGAACATGGCATCACTAAGGAGGATGGAAGTTTTTATGAGTTTGGAGAGGTAAAATTTTTTTTTTACATGGTTCTTTTTTTTTATGTGGGAAATTATGAAATTTTTTTCCTCAGGATATCCCAGAGATGCCAGAAAGAAAAATGACCGACCAAATTAATCAGCCAATACTGCTCTGTCGCTTTCCAACTGAGATAAAATCCTTTTACATGTCGAAATGTCCAGAGGACAATCGTCTAACTGAATCTGTTGATCTTCTCATGCCCAATGTCGGCGAAATTGTTGGAGGCTCAATGCGTATCTCGGATTATGAGGAATTGCTCCAGGGGTACAAAAGGGAGGGCATCGACCCCACAGCTTATTATTGGTACACTGATCAGGTAAATCCACTGAGTCATCAAAATAAATGTGTATTTTTGAAAAAAAAGAATTATTCTCGAATAACCCATTGCCCATTTCAGCGTAAATATGGAACATGCCCCCATGGAGGGTACGGCTTGGGACTCGAGAGGTTCGCTTGCTGGTTGCTCAACCGATATCACATTCGTGAGACCTGTCTCTATCCACGTTTTCTGGAACGTTGTCGACCATAAAAAAACAGCTATTCTCTGCATTCCACCTTCTCACGTACACCCGGGCTTTATTATATATACTATCTTAGCAATCTAATGCTAATTCTAATGCTAAATATGTATTGAGAAGTGAATAAACAAAATTTGAAAAATTAATTTTTATTCTTTATCCTCTCTCTATAGCCAGGAACTGCAGATTGTGAATGAAAGGAAAATAAATGACAAAAAATCATCTGCTTCAATTTTTTTTTCTCATTTTCAATAGTTACAATTTACATACGATTAATTGGGTATTCAAGTATACAACGCGCTGCAAGCTCGCTCCATGTCTTCACTGTTGAATGTTTCTCCAATAAAATTGAAATTTCAATGGCAATTCAAATGAATAATATCACTGAGAAGTCACAGAAAAAAAAAACTGAAATCACTTTATCATATTGGAAAATAATCGAAGAAAATTCCGAAATAAATGTGTACAATACTGTCAATTGACTATTACTTACTAACATTTTACATAATCCATTTGTGTTTAATTCCCTCATTTTAACATCTTAATAATTAAGAATATATTATTATTATATCATACTGCACTTTTTTCATTATTCTTTGTTATGTGAATTATTCCTCTCTACATAATATTTATATTATATACATACACACATATATTAATTAACATGTAATAACCTTGTATAACATCATCAACAATTTATTACCTGAATAATAGGATTGCCTTAATCAATCACTGATCAAGACTGAGTGCAGATATTATAATGATTCATCCTCTCTCAATCGATCATTTAATTATTGTTTCGTCAACGAGTCGATGCTTAAGCCTCTTTCCACGTGATTCCATCCCCCCGAGATTAATCTGCGTTACAGGTATTATCCGATTAACTTTCTACTGACTTTAGTTTTTTTCGATTAGTCTTCTATTAATTGATGGTATAAGCGTAGCAATTGTGGGATTTTTTTTTAATCGAGAAACTGTTCGGATTCATTGATTCGTCCGAATTCGCCTTGTATAACAGGGGTCTACTGTAATTATGCAATTTTAGGTATTGGAATGTCTGGGAGATTTATTATAGATGCAATTTCTCCAAATTCTGCATTCATTTACTGAAACATCTGCTCCGGAGGATAAACAATTTTCACATGATGAGATGTGATAAACTGCCGCTTCACCACTCCAACAGAAAATAATTCTATCCAATTATTTTCACAATAGCGAACTGCGGTATAAATTAATGTGATGATTGCACAAGCAAGCAAATAAATAATTCAGGGATGTCTTCTCAATTTTGAGATACTGAAAATCCATCTATTCACTATTTTTTTTTTAATTTATACTCTGATTAATTTTGGGTTGAGGTCTAGGGGAGATTCAGTAACTGAAAATTGTTGGCTGCAGAGACACCACCGAATTAACCATTCGGTCGTATTTAAATGGCGCAATAATCGATTTGCATAAAAAATGGCTAATAATTTTCGTCAATATTAAAAGACTTTTTTTCTGATTGAGCATGGCAGAGAATAAACCGATAAAAAAGGAGGAAAAATGTTGTTCTCTCTTTATAAATTTAAAATATTGCAGTCAGTATTTGTGATTCATATGTGCACATATAAAGGACCTCTCGGTGGTACAATGTATATTATTCATTCGTTCGAAGCTTGTGAACGGACAGACGTTTGTCGCAACTTTCATCGAGATTTGTATGATAAATATAATTTATTTAGATTCATTAATTGTTGTATTCTCGCTGATAAGAAAGCTAATATAGTCGACATCTGTTACGTTTATTTTCAGAAACGTCAACTGATTTCGCACGTGAATATACGATTCAACACACATTATTATCGTATTTCAATATAATTTTGTACGTTTATTTATACGAATTGATTTTAATACGAAAACGAGTTAACGTTGACATATATTATTTATCCAGAATAGAAATATATGGAGAAAATCAAAATATAGAGGAGTAGAAAGCTAAATTTCTAAGATAAAGATTCAATGGAGAGATTGAGAAAATAGGCCATTCGATTTAGCTCAAATGCGCTTAAAAGTTTGAGGAAAAATAATTCTTTTTTTGTCTTATTTCTTCACAGCGATGAGGTATTAATTACTCTATTGGTTTGTATACTTGAAAAAATAATATTCTTCTAAGAAGAATGTTGAATGAAAAAATCATTCAGTAGTGATGTTTTTTAATCACTCAATTACTGAATTGTATAGTTTGGAAAGATAAATTCGCCTGTAAGTTATCACTGAAATATTGTTCAGCTTTTTTTTATCGCTTCTAAGAAGCTAGCGAGTAGCGTTTATTATGTCTAAAGGCAATGGTGACACTCGTAACTAATTAGAAGGAATGTACTCTTAATAAATAATAATCAATTTATTCATGTGCATAGTGTGAGTTATCCGTCGACTCGACGAGGGAACATGTTGGCAGTGACGTTTGGATTCAATTGAAGGAAGAAATAGCCTTATTAAAGATTCTGAAAAATTATAAAATCGGAATTGAACGTGAGGTTTGAGGCGAGTACATTCTTCTGGTGAGTGTAGCCATTGCTCATCGTTACAGCGTGGTTTTGGTAGCGTTTCGATTACTTACTAGAATAGGAGAATTATTCTGGGGGGTTCGATTCCTTTTTCGGATTCTCGTGATGCTAGTAGAGGGTGTGAACTATACAGTCCCGTTCCGGTAACTGACGTACCTTCATCGACCCATCAGCACCGCAAGAAAATAATCTACCGGCCGAGTCTACATGTAATTGCGTTACACCCTAAAATTTATTATTTTTCAAATCAGTCTTTTGCCTAAGTTCATTAATTAAAATAATACTTTATGCTGAATAGAATTTTTTTAAAATGCTTACTTGACCGATATTTTTGAAGAAACTTGACCTGGGATGCTCCGCAGGGAAGGAATACAATAGGGAATGAACAGTGAGACCCCACACCTTGATATCACCATCCCCAGCTCCGCTGACGAAGAACTCCTCATGGGGATCGAGGGCCAAGCACTTTATGGCTGACTCGTGGGCCTGGAACCTGTGCCTCTGCTGTCTCTGTCTCACATCGAAAATATTGACATCTCCCTTTTTTCCTCCACTGATCAACAATTGGTGCTGGGGAGCCAGAATAACTGAGCTTGCTCCCTGATCGTGACAGGTGAATCCCTGAACGAGAGATTTATTCTGGGGCAGGAGTGTGTCCCAGAGTGCGACATTTCGACCCTCGGAACCGTGACCAGCTGTTGCAACGAGACTGCATGCCCCGAGAAACACAAAGTCCGCTGTGACTTTGCTGTGGCATTGGTAATTGAAGAAGGGCCTGGCTGTTCCCTCTCTGCAAGCAACTTGGAAGAGGGATAGATGACCATCTGAATCAGCAACACCAAATTTATTTCCATGCTGAGCAAAACGAACACGAGTAACTTTTGCAAAAGTTCCTGGTGGACGAGGAGTTGCCACTGCTGTTTGGTGGCCCCATTCCCACAGAGAGACTGAACCATCTTGAGATCCCGTTAAGTCTACAAGATTCACACCATCCATTCAAATTTTATTGAGTTCATATTGATTCATTGCTGGCAATAATTCTATAAGAGTAAATATTGCAATAACTTACACAAAGGTAGAAGTGGGTGTGCAGATACCCTCCTAATACCATCGATTTTATGTTTCAGTATCTGATCAAAGAAATTAAAAAAATCACTTCATTATTATCAATCACAATTTTCAATTGAATTTGAAACGCTAAACATTTATAATGTTGAACTTAGAAAAAACGGGAATGTAACAGGTAAGTCGATCAAAGACAAAATTCACTTGTGAATTAAACGAATGTCGAATAAAATTCGTGATTAATGATCGCTCATTGAGCTCATGCTTAATGATAAAAATATTTTGTTATCGAAAATTCAAGAGACCCATCGAGCACGAGACACTTATCCATGGAAATATTATGATAGCTGAGTGACTCTTTATCTAGCAAACGAACCCATAGAAGATGCAAAATCAAACAGTGTCACATAAATAATAAAACCGTCCAATCATGCACAAGGATGATTTTACAAAAATGCAGAAATCAACAATAATCAAGCGATCGCACTCTAATAATAAACTGTACATGTGAATGTGTAGCGGTATAAAATTTACTTGAATTCCTTCTATTTCGATCAAAACTTCACAAAAAATTGACAATAAAAAACATGCCTGAATAATTGATCCTGAACCATCAATTCAATTTCAATAACAAAACAAGGAAATCGATTCAATAATTAATATATTTCTCTGCGAATATTTTGAGTTTTACCAGAACAGTTCAGATTCAATTAATCGAATGACTGACTCTTCATCTTGATCAGGATTAATAAAAAAAAGAATAATGAATAATCAATGATTATGAAAAATATTGAGTTTCTTTGATTTTCGTGGTTTTTTTTATTTATTTTTTTTGTCGTTAGAATGTTAGTCTCACCGGCTTCAACAAGTGTTTACTCCTATCAGCAACAAACTGACAGAAGCGCAGGTCGTGGGAGCCAGGGAAAGCGGGCATCCCCTTCATCTGTACGAGCGCGTGAGCCATCAGGTCAGTGACGCAGACCAAGTTATGGATGTTAGGCAAGCATTGAACAAGCAACATTGTCTCCGTCACCACTTGTGCGTTACCCCCAAACACATATATTTAAAGTAATAATAAAAAAAAAATTGAAAAAAAAATATCGACGCTGTTAGAAATTTCTATCGTGATTTCTTTCGTTGACAAACGAAATATCAATGTTCATTTCTAACAGTGTATCCCTCCCTAAAACTCCTCACAATTCGACAAGATTAATTTTCTCCATAATGATGAACCGATAATCAATGGAAAAGAAAAGATTAATGTACCCCGGAGAATGAGAATTCTTCGATAGGTTCATGCAACTAGTCAGAGATAAATCAATATAAAATTGGTTTTTTTAATATACAGGTTCTTTTCTCTTCATTAATCTCGTACCCGTTGCGATATTGACACGTGATATTTTCGGTTGAAGAACGTTAAATAAAAAGGAAGTCAGTAGAGAAAGAGAGAAAGAGAGAGAGAGAAAGATTATTGAGGGGAGCACTGAAAAAAAATAAAATGTACGCAACTCCGTTGGGAATATTGTGAGTTTCGTTTCTTCAGTGGATATTCTGGAATCAATGGATTTAAATGGACAAATCATACATTTCATTTTTTTCCGTGTAATATCACATTTTAATTCGTGTAATTAGTGCTGTTAATGATTAAGACAGATAACGTCACTGCGAGGTGCCCATTGTCGATTCAAATGAATAGATAGATATTGTGTGATAGGTCTAAACAGAAACTTTAAGCCACTATGGATTACAGTTATTATGTATAATTGTAGTGTTACTCCTACGGGGTTTTCATCGATAAATATAGAGCATTGGAAGTACAGTTAAATTCTGATAAATTTATACTATTAAATTCGATTTTGCCTTCATCCACCACAACTTTGAGAATATTTTCACGTAAAGTTTCTTCACATCGTGTAAAGCGTTGGGTCATGAGTCGCAAAAGTCGTGAGTAGTGACGGATATATTTCTTATATTCATGTTGTAAGACAGTGATTATGATTACAATAATTAAAAAATAAATTGAATGACTTACGACACTTGCGCCACGTCCACTTTGACTGGCTATTCCTGATTGGGGTTGAGGGCTATTAGATTGAGGACTCTGGGCTAATAGTGGCCTATCAGCTGCCGTCTACGATAAATCCCAATGAAATACTTTAGTTTTTCTATTAAGAGAAGTATCGGAGAGTGGACAAATGGTGAATTAAAAATTGCTTACTTGTATGACTAGAAAACTGGTGGGTGGGACAGGTTCCGGATCGACCTGTTTATTCAAATTGATAATATCAAACTCGCACTCATCCTCTAACCAGCTAGGTAACTCCAGCAGCAGAGATATATCCATTTCCTGAACTTCCCTCGGCGTAGCAAGAGCCATCAACCCAGGATTAACCTGATTAAGACAGAAGGCACTAATACTATCCTGTTCTTTATGAATTATTCTGACTGGTTCAGGAAGACTAGTCGTTCCAGAATCACTTCCTTTATCCTCTCCCCTGGTATTTCCATCGACATTGGTCTGACTCTCGAGAACAGCGGACAACGATCGCCTCTTTCCAAAGACCGCACGAATGAATATATCCTGAACAGTCTCCTGCCTCACCAAATACGACCAGAGTCTGTTGGCAGGAGCAGCTGATGCCAGTCTCGTGTTAAATGGTGTATTTTCCTTTTCTAACAACGATCTGTACTTGTGAATTGCTGGTTTACCAGGGGTTGGTGCAGGATCTGGCGCACATCCGGAGATAAAGTGAACAGGCGGTGGTCCTTTTGATTCCAATTCCTCCCTCAGTGTCTCCTGCCACTGTGCAGCTATTCCCAGTGTTCCATGAATCAAGGGACTACTCACTGGCAATTCCTGCATCTCAATTCCAGCGACAGTCAAGAAATCCTGAAGCTGCTGCTGAAGTATCTTAACAATAGCTAATCTCATAATACACCAGCTGTAAGACGTTGGATTTGAGTGCTCTGTGTTATCCTTTGGTTTGTTCTTTGGTTTCACATTAGTATCAAAAACATCCTCTTCGTCATCGGATGAACCCAAATCGGAAACAGCTGAATCCGATGAATCATAATCAATTTCATCAGCATATTCACTCTCAATTCTGGGTTTCATGAGAAAATACGAGATCATGCTCATCTGAGGCGAAACAAATTGCTCTCGATAGGTCGGTTTATCCTCCTTTATATTCGGCTGTTGTCCAGTAAATTGTCCCAACAATTTCATATTCAACTTGACTCGCTGTTTGGTCAACGATGTCATAGTATTCCAAACACCACCAGCCGCTGCTTGCAGATCACCCGAGAAACTGTCAGCACGCTCTACCACAATGTTAGACGGTCTATTCGATGTGCTAGCTATTCTCACTAATTTTTTAACACCACCACCAAAGAGAGTGGCCCATGTATTATTGTCAAATCTATGACCAACTAGACGATAAAGTATGTGGCTGTCACAGCTCGAGAGAGCATAGACAAAGAGGCTCATGAATGTGGCGACAAAGGCCTCGCAGAGAAGTATATTGAGCTTCGGTGTATCTTCATCTTTTTCCCTAGCTAGGAGGGCTCGGAGATTCGTTACACCTGGCCATTTTGCTGGTAGAGTTGTTATTATGACTCCCTCGTCCGTCGAGTAACGACGACTGTAACGATTCGAGGCGACTAAATGACCACCTGAGAATGCCTCAACCTCAGCTACTGCGGGAAAACTGTCCGGTTGGTGATGTTTCATCACGAAAGTGTCAGAGTCACACAAGGACTGGTAAATGCATGCGCTTAGAGCTACTGCCAGGTCTCGCATTATGAATACTTCGCAGTAGTGGGTGTTCCGATTGGGTGTTGGTGGTGAGCGCAATTCTACGAGGGTTTGCAGCATATCGTGGGCCAGGGACTGCAGATGTCTAACTGGATCTGCTACCACTGTTTTGTTGCACGCCACGCTAGCTGACAGGAGGGGAAGAGTGGTGGGGAAGGGAAGAGGAGAGAGGAGTTGTTGCTGAGTTTTCTCTTGTTGGAGCTCTTGGAGAAGAAGAACGAGCTCCATACGGACGGAGGCTAGACCGCCACCTGAGGCCCCGTGCAGGGAGCAGTAGGAGAGCAGAGTACGGAGAAGTGTCTCGTTTGCTATGAGACAATGCAAAATTGGGCAATTGGTTATTGATAATTTTTTTTCCTCTTTGAAATTCAATTTTCAGCACATCTTTCACTTTTATATTTACACAAATGAAAAAACCACGGCGTCCACGTGTTATATATATTTGTTAGTTACCTTTGAGCCACTTTTTCCGTCTTGCGGCTCTCTGCACTTTAGCTTCAAAATCTAGCTTTTCAGCGACTAAAATCTCATGCAACGTGGGCTGCTCACCAGGTCTGTACGGTGCAACGTCGTCAACCATACCACCTTCGTCTGGAAATGCACATCGAAAAAAAAAAAACATCGTAACACAGAAAAACACAGCACAGGACGAAATCAAACATTTCCACCCGTTTCGGTGAAAACATCGAGACCAGTTAATGCCAAATAACGAAAGCTTTATAAGTAACCGTCAAATCTCGATTAGCATCATTAAGAAAATTTTTAAAAATAATGATAAACTTACATTCAATGACATTGGTGACATCTCCATCGGAATTAACACTGTAACTGCACAGCTGCCTAAGAGCATCAACCTCCCTCTCAAGCCAGACGTAGAGTTGATATCTCAGCTGACCTCCGTCCACCTCAAACCCAGTGGCCAGAGTTGACAGCTCCTCCATAAGAATTTTCAAACAAGCCACAAATTTCAGCTGCTGTGCCATAATATCCAGCTGCGGTACCGACTTGATCCCTTCGTCCTCCTTCTCCTCGACCTTAACATCCTTCTTATCCATCTTCATGCTCATCGGCGGTGAGTCAATCTCCTCCGCAGGTTCATCATCATCACCCCAATCGAGCTTCAGCTCTTCCTCCTCCTTCTTGACAGGCTGTGACCAATCCATGGCCGACGCACCCCAGTCCATCCCTGAATCACCCTTCCGAGTATCCCCCATATCCCAGCTAATGATTCCCGTATCAATCTGGACATCCTGCGCCCTGGACTTCAACGGACTATTCAAAAGACTGGGGGTCTCTTCTCCATTGGCATCCATAACTTTGTTCGGAAGTTTGGAAAGCACTTCGAGGGCCAGAGCTGGACAGCCAGCCTTGAAATGTGCATGAGCAGTTGTGAAATACAGCTGTCTCTCCAAAGGAGTGATACTATCCTCCAAAAGCAATTGCTTATCGGGCTGTCCCTTCCCCTCAGTCCCATAACTAAATCCTGACAACATCACTGAAGTTCCTTTCTTTTTGTCCTGCGCAGTAGACGCTATGTACTGTCTTATCAAAAGGGGATGAGTCCTCAGATAAACATAGAAGTTAAATACATTTGGATTGGCTGTCGCTCCCTCGGGCTTCTCAGACTCGTCATTATACTGGGGATGAAGACTCCCGACATTCGTCAGTAGGAGGGTATTTAGTGACCCAGCGTAGTCCTTCAAAAGCCACAGGGCCATGCTCCTCAAGAAGGGATCAGGATGTGCAGCATTGATGTCAGGATTTTCTCCGTTCTCATTACACCCCAGGATCTCCTCCCAGAGCAGTCGCTTAAAATTCGGAGACGTCATGTCATCCTCGTACAGTCTTGCTATAATCATAGCTAATTGAATATCATTGAGTTTGTGAAGGCAGATATCGATAGCGTCACGCAGAGCTCCAGCCAAAAGGAAGAAAGCCGCGGCATGCGCGAATCGCTGTTTTCCAAGCAGGGCATAAGCATTTTTGAGTGCTGCCTTACGCCAACGATCTTCTGAAAAATTATTAGAGAAGAACGCAGTCATTCTCTCGTCCCGTTTGTTCCTAAAGAGTCCCCATACAATGTTCTTCTTCTTCATGGCTAGGTAATAAATGGCCGCGTCCAGTGGATCTTGATTTTGTTGAAAAGCCGACTTGGCGATTTTCTCAATGCACGTTTTCAGAACTGTATTATTTCTAATCCACCAACCGACACCTAATTCCTTAAGAATTGACCACTTCGGTTGGGCTTTTGCGTAGGAGGGAATGAGAGCCAGGAGTTCCTCTTCAGATTCCGAGTGAAAAGCCCAGACTAAATTATTTGTGGAAACCCCTTGTTTCTGGAATTGTGCACGTTGGGCTAGTGGTAGACACTTGATGAGATAATTATAATGCTTCATAGCTAGTAAGAATCGCAAGCCACAGTCGTCGAGTGAATCAGTGGATACGGTTTCACCATCGGGAATCCCCGTGAGATTCTCTTTAGCTATTGCTGTTTTGGCTGCATCGATGGCAAATCGCTCGGCGAAGTCTACGTTGCAAGTGGAGACTGTATCGGCAAGAGCGAGAAGATGCATTTGATCGAGAGAGGATAGCCCGGGTAAATGAGTGTGAGTTAGTAATCGAGATAAAAGTCGTCCCTGTCGAGGGCCAAAGTGCGAAATTCCCTGACGTTCCGGCACAGATGATCTTCTATCCTTCTGACGAGAGCCCTCATAATTGTCATCCAGCATGTCATCGAGGGACTCACCCTCATCCATGTGACCATCGAATAGCTCATTATAATCTTGTTTGTCCTCATTCTGAATTTGCGCCGCACTCGTCTCTTTATCTGCAATGAGGAGTGTCCACAATGGAAGAGGTGAGATTGACGTGATTTCCGCGTAATCCAGAGTGAGTTCTTCAGGTATTTGTGTGGTGGAGCCTCTTGGTTCCAACGGTGAAGTTGTCCCAGTATAGCTCACCGACATCGTTCTAGATCTAGTCCAGCCACTTCGTTGCTTCATTAGATTTTCATCGTCAGCTCGGACAGAACACGAACTCGTAATGCATCTGACTAGATGAGCAAGGATTGCTTTAACCCATCGAATTTTACCCGAATTCAGGAGCTCCATTAATTGTTTAGGATGATACTGAGGGAGTACTGGACAGGCAATACGAGACGCCTCGAAGAGGCCATAATCCGGCATATAATCAAAGCTGACACTGTCATTCTGCATCCCTCGTTTCTTCTTAGCATCCAGCATTGTTAGATTTATACTGCTCACTCTAGAAAGATGTGGCATCGAGGAAACATTGGCTAATCTCCTCTGAGACGTCTCCTGGGCGAGGGTCCGCAAGTCCTCATCCCGAAGATTTCTACTTGCCTGAAATTCGTCGGACTCCTGGTGTTGCAGATTCGAGTGAAAACACTCGTTTTTCGGATTCGGCTTCCACTGCGAATACACATGCATTTCCGAGTCCATTCCAACTACAAGAATACCATCTCTCACCCAAGATATTTGCATGGGAAGTGGTGGAAGACCGTCTGCTGTTGTCAATCTAATTTTTCTGAGCTTCATCCATCGAATTTCATCGACAAATTGAGGCTGCGCCAATGACGACATTTTTCTCAAAATTGGACGATTGGTACTTTGTGACTCTTTCATAGCTTTCATATTGGCTTGAGCCAAATCAGAACATACTGGAGTAAACAGCATGATCTTCGACCCAACACCAACGGTCAAAATATGAGAGCCATCCTCCTTGGACACCCAATCAAGTTGAACTAGATGTTTCTGGGTCAATGGACAAGTGTTTCCATTCTCAATTATTGATTTTCTGAGTGATTGGAGTGTACTGAACGATGGAACTGCTAAAAGACCAGCATTAGTTTTAGTCTCACCATTCTCTCCATTACGCGGTGACCGGATGTCCTCATGAGATAGTGTCTGCAGAACCTGAGTCAATCTCTGCTTCTTCTGGAGATATCTACTGTCGTACAAATAACTCAGATCTAAGTGCTGATCAACCTGAATTCTTGGCAAGTGAATATTTTTAAGATGAATGGTGTCCTCAAGAATCCACTCACTTCCCCCAGTGCTCTCACACTCGTAGATAGCTACGCAGAGATTAACGTATCTCGAGTCAGGATCATTTTTTCCAGGTCTCGTAAAGGACTTTCCATATTTATAAGCACAAGCTATCCTTCCACTGTAAGCCGCACTGATATTCAAAGGCTGACCAGATATATCGATAGTCGACTCCTGATCTTTTCTGATCATCTCCCACTCCCTCCATTCATATTGAAGCTGATCATCATCGCTTTTTGTCACTTTGCACTTCCAAAAACGTACTGTACTGTCACTGCAAGCAGTCACAACGATGTATGGCGCAAAGCATGCGGGATAGATCGATGAACTGCTCAGATGGCCAGCAGCTGGTGCAGCATGAACAACTTCAACACCATCAGGCAGCCCCAACTCTTGGGTACAAACTTTGGTAGTTGTAATTAAAACGTGACTGTTGTGGTGCCTGCGAGGAATAAAAGATGAATCATAATCAACTTGTGATGATCTTCTACTTCGTCCACCAGTTTGACTTTGTCGTCTCGATCTCCTTCCATCTGAGTGTCTACCAGGTGTACCTTCCTCATCCTCATCCTGCACCAGATGAGAATCTGGAACGTACATCATTGATCCTGTAAGATCTGTTGTCTCTGGTTGAGAGGCTATTACTAATCTCCACATGTGAACTGTCGTCCCTTTTGTTGTTCTCTCGAGAACAACAATGTAGAATGGCTCCTCGAAGATGGCAGACTGCTGGAGATCTACCATTGCATCCAGTGTTGATTCCATTAGACCCAAATCTTTAGCTGATGTATCGATACCCGTTTGTTTCTCATCATTTCTCTCTCCAGTTATCAATTGCTCTTGAAAAACATGAAGGAACTGCGTGTTCTGCCAGTCGTGAGTGGCATCTGATATAGCATCAAGCTGAATGATACAGCCAGGCCGAGCAGTCGATTGTTGGGATACGATTTTAATTCGATCGTGCAATGAATGCCGAATTCCATCGTCCGAGGATATGTCTGTCGATAAACTCGCCATCGAGTCCATCATTCTACTTCTTCTCTCCGATATCGATATTTCGGCGAGTAAAGTTCTCGCATCGATAACTGCTTGATATACCCGAAGGCATTGGCCATCACTAGCGACGAAACAAGCGCTCGGTGAATTTGATAAATTACCGAGAGTCGTTGAGGGGAGGAGTGTTGGTATCCAAGCAACATTGCTGAAGGCTGATATCTCGGGGGAGTTTATTCTAGCTAGCTCTGATACTCCACCACTTTTGGATAAAGGACCGACAGCATCCACACGCCAGAGAATGAGTTCACTGCAGAATCCAGTCGCTGACATGATCTCTTTTCTGTAAGCTGAGTCGCTCTGATGATCCGAATGCTCTGAATTCTGAGAGGTCGAAGACTTCGGATTGTACTCTGGGATATTATGATGAGAAGTAGTGACTAGAAGTGGGAGGACTGGATGGCAGGTTATGTCATTAACTCGAAAGCGATGACCTGAGGCCCTGCATGCGTGACCGATCGACAGCACTTGGGAGAATTTTGTTCTGTCGGCGAAGGTCAGCTGCCAGAGATTGAGAGTGCCATTCGAATGCTTGGAAACCATGGATACCATGGGACTGGGGTGTGCCAGAAGATCATGAACTGTCTCTTGAGTCGATTTGGCTTGTTCAGCGGCTGTTGTTGAATTTTGAGATGGTAATATTGGCTTTTGGTCTATGTAATTGTTGACATTTTGCAGGAGTTCTTGGCCTGCTTTTGACGTCAGGGTTGACTGATCCTCATCTTGCTCGATGAGGCTTGGGAGGGGAGTAGGTACTTCATTGCTGAGGTGATCGCTAGGTTTTGTTGAGGATTTTGCCACTTCGCGGATACTTAAGAGCGGACCCCCGGTGTTGTGGGAGTACATAGAGACGTTGTGACTCATTGTGGAAGCGTCACCCAGGGGAAAAGCGTTGGGGATGCGTGTGGAAAAGGAAATCTGGGCTTGGCGAAATGAGCCAGGATGATACTCGTCCAGCCATTCGATGTGCCAGATGAGAAAAGATCCGTCTATTGGGTGGATTGAGAAAAGAAGATCGGGGTTGTGATGCCAATCGCGGAGGAGGGTCTCGATTTTTGTATCAAGAGAGTCGGGCGCGTGATTTATTGTCGACGTGGCGTCGGTGGCTATTGAGTTGATGGACGTTGTATTGCTGAAATTTTTGTTGAGTTGGAAAAAGACTGTCCCGGGTAACGATCTACAACGATTGTTCAAGGAAGTCATTTAATTTTCAGGACCTACCTTAAACTTTGGTGGGAGTGACCACTGTGGGGTAGACTATGATGAGATGATCCCGTGTGAGGTGTGTGATGTTCATCACTGCTGTGCTCTTCCTGACTCATCCCACGTCCAACTCCAGATCTGGTGTTGGGCTGATGCCTCGGAGCTTTCTCTGTGGGACGCGCCATACCGTAACATGATAAGATGCTGCCTGATGAATATAACAATTCTAGCTAGCCATGCAATCATGCCTTAGGAATACTAAATTTTCTGCCTACATGCGCCGAAAGTGAGCATTCTAACCTCACTTCGTTCGGTTAGAAACGTGACTTTCGCAGAAATTTTGGCAGAAAAATCGTATGCAACCCTCGGGAGGATAATCAGACGATAATCGGAGGATAATCAGATAATCAGCCTTCGGCTCGGGTGGTAATTTTGCACGTGGGAAGGACTCGTCTACTTTTGCTCCCTAGGTGAGCAATATACTATACTCTTATCGATATTCTATCCAAAAATAGTCAGCGTTAAAGAGTTTGCGGAATAATTGACATTTTTTTTGTAACACGACCGAATTTGATTAATTTTAAAAGGGAAAAATCTGCAACCGTGCAAAGTGTTACAACGTACTTGGTGTATGTTCGTCCTCTGAATCATGATCAGCGTGGTCTGAATCGTGATGCTGCAGGCTTTCCTCTTTCTCCACTACTTTTCTCGTTAATTCCTGAAGATTCAACAATTTACATGAAATTTTTCATTTAAAATCGACGTGAGAGATTTTTTATCCTCTCACCTGTAGAATATTCTCAGCCTGCATCGTGAAATGCATTTCCTTGTTGTTCAACCAGTGAAGAATGAAATTGGGTTCTCTCTCAGGATCTCCGGTGACGAGACTCGGTACCAGGGGAATATCTATTATATAAATGTATACTACGGTCGTCATTTATCATTGTTTAAAGGATAAAAAATTTTTAAAATAAATAAATATGTATTTTTATAATTCTGATAATCTTGAATAATCATGGGGGAAAATAATATATTTTTTTTTCTATTCAACTCACCAGTTTCCGCGTTGATACTAGCAGCAAGATGAAAATGCATTCCGGGATAGTGCCCACTACCCTGATAATTATTATGAAAATCATGAACCGAATAGGTTGAGGGTAGAGTTGGAAGGGTAGGTGCAGTGTGACCATTCTGGTGTTGCTGTTGTTTAGCATGACGTCGAATGTGGAAACAGGTTTTCATGTGCTTGAGTCGCTGCATAAATCGATGCTTGTGCATACTGTGATGGCGATGCTTTCCATGATGGCCATGTCGATCCGAGCCTTCGAATTGGCTCATATTGGCGAGGCCCTCGATTTCAGGAGGTATTGTCTCAGCCCACACTCGACAGATATTGTCCCGACACGATGTAACTAGCATGTTCGATACTGATCCCCTGAAAGTGCCGATTGAATCGTTATTCAGTGCCCATTTTAATGATGGAACATCGAAAAACTCACTTGGGCATATATTTACTGGTTTTCCTCCAGGATAAGTGAGTCACAGCTCTGGGATGTGCCACATAAACGAAGCCATAACTGTCATTGGGTATTGACTGTCCAAAACCCGTCTGATCCATGCTCCTCATTGGAAATACTATAAATATTTCGCCATTTCATTCATCATTAACTTATTATCTCTCGAGGGGAATTGAAGGGATTCGAAAGGCTTTCAAGGAGCTCGAGTGGTGCAGTCTCAAGGGTCTCATTCAAGGCTATAAAAAGCTTCAAGATAAAAAAAATTCGAACATAAATTTCTCTTTATGCTGAGTTGTTGACTCTTTGATCTTTTATGCAGGATAAAACTAGGTAAGCTGAAATTCTATGTACCATTGAGAACTCCAATCCGTTTTAAATCCATTCAGAAATTACTGAAGGATTTTTTTTTTAGATCGTGTTTTTTATTTTCATTGGAGCGGATGTGTTGGAATTTTTTTTATTCTACTCGGTATTTTCGAGAATACTCACATTGTTTATTCTCGAACCATATTTTAACGAGTCTGTCGTTGAGCCCGGTAGTAGCGAACAGAGTGCCATCCGGACTGAAACTCATCAGATGAACTGGTATAGCCGTTCGACATTTCCAAACGCAATTCCAGCCTCCAGCGTCATTAGCAGAGGTGGAATCCCCTGGACCGGGGCTTTCAGCTTCGCCGCCAATGGAAAATGTTACCGCCCCAGCTATAACCATCGAAGCCAATAATTTACACGGAACTATTGAAAATATGAGATCGATAATTGTATTTTTATTTTCTATCGTCGCAGAGAAAACAAATGCTTTGTACAAATGGAATATGAGGGTTCGATCGTAGAAATTAATATAAATAATAAATTATTGAAGATGATGGGGCGATGGTGAAGCTTCCTGTTTAGACGAGTAATTGTGAAGACAATTTCCTTTTTAAAAAAAGCGACGTGAAATAAATTAATATTGAGTAAATAAATTCCATAATTGAAATAAAGAATGGCAGAGCTTTATAAAGTCACAAAGCATTGCAGACAATATCAATCGCCTTAATCGGCATTGCGGTCCTGAAGAATGCCTGGTAAAAATTAATTGAAAAGCTTAAGAGAAAAGAAATAAAAAAGTAAATCATGCCAATAACAATTCAATTAAACGTTCATTCTCGATGGGAATGAACTCACGATCTTGGGAAGAGTTTCCTGGTGGATTTTGTTCGGGCACTGGTGCTGGACTTTCTTCTGTATGCGGATTTTTCGCCTTTGCTGCATCATTTGTCACAATGTTTTTTTTTTTTAATTTTCAATTTCAGTGGGAGATAACAATGGGAATTAATGAAGTTTTACTCACTGGTTTCCTCCTGAAAGGGTTGGATATTCTGGTGCCAGAGTTGGAGGAGTTCTCCACCTGTCAGCAGACGAGTTCCCTCGAGATTCCATGAAAGGGACGTGATGTTGGATTCTGTCTGCAGACTTCCGGTTTGAACCCATCTGTACTCCAATTGCTTTCAGAGAAATAAATTTTCTTATTTAACTGACAATTATAGTCTGCGTGGATTTTAAAATAATTTGAGTAATTTCAAGGAAATAATGATTTATGAATGCACTCACGTGTGAGCAAGTGCTGTGGATGAGCGGAGTGGGTTCGAATATACATATTTGATTTTCATAAGCAGCAGCTATTTTGCCCGTGTCAGTGCTACAATCCAAACAGCTGATTCTGATGTAATTATGAACAGCCCCAGGTATTATCTGGACTCTCTCGAAATTGCTCGCGAGAATGACGATGTTGCAGCCAGCTGCATATGCCTGCAACAATCGAGGTCAAATTTTCCTCATTTTCATATTTTTTTCTTCCACTCCCTAAAAATTCATTCATTCTTCAATAACCGCCACTAACACATTAGTCACTTGCTGCAGGAGTTACATAATGTAACCTAATGCTTCTCTCGGAACGACTCATAAATTAGTCGTTATAAACATTCCACGTGAGTTGAACCATCAACGAAAATTGATAAGACCCCGTCAACCTAAATATTAATGACGAACGTGCAGTCATTTCTGTAGCTGTGAGATATCATTATCTCATGTTATTAATACGGGATCATTAATGGATGAAAATTCAGGGGCTGTTGAGGGGAAATAAAAAGAGGATAAATCGAACACAATGCGACCGTCAGTCAATTTCCAGCTGTATCGATTACTCGAGTGAAAAGAAGTCGAGAAAATTGATGGGAAATTAAAGGGAATTCTCTCATTCCCCAATGTATCACTTTACTCTCAAGTTTGAGGGACATTAAAAAATTATTTCAGGGCATTTGGAACTGTTTCGTTCGACCAATTCGCGTTTCATGTTCTGATACAACGATACAAAATATAATGGACGACAAATTCTGGATTATCGCAAAAACGCGACAAAACGCATTACGTATTTCAGCACACAATATGTAAGAAATATATTTTTCGATTTGATCAATACCAATTTATTAAAAAACAAAGGTCTGAAATAATACATCATCTCCATAAAAAAATTCCATTCTAATAAAATGTAAAATGTTTCACAATTGAATAATTCTCAGCCTTCAAACGTGTACAATACTAATTATCAATCGGATATCCTCTTAGTAGACAAAAACATTTATTCAGTCGATGAATATGTATATAAATAATACACGATTTTTTTTTCAGGCTTTGGGATGAAAAGAAAAAATATCCGTACAATGTTCATAAAAAAAATAGTGCTCGTCAACCGCCCAGAAGTCGGAAATTCCCTTATCTCACAATCTAGTCCCACAATCGATTACTCTGTAATTTCCCAAAGATAATCCTCAGTTCTCCCTAAAAATAGATGTCATCCAGTAAAATTCTCCCGCTTTCAGCCCAAAAAAAAGAACACAGCAAAAAAAAAAATAGCCAGTGATAATGCATCGAGACAACGCACACCTGCACAGGGTACATATGACAAGTGGATACTGTTAGATATAAATAGTGTACTCTAGTGTATACGAAAGTGTCATTTAATCAGCTGACTTAATGCACCAGAACTCGATTGTCTACATAAATTCTCGATTCCATCTCCCGTACAGCTATCGACAAAGAAAAAAAATAAACAAAATCAAAAATACCACGAAATATTGAATAATAAATGATGTAAAAAAAAAAGGTGAAATCGAGGGTTCAATAGGAACTCACGGTAAATGATATTCCCTCGACGGAGCCGACAGCGTAGCAGCGGTCACCTGCGTTGCAGGCACCACTCAGTATCTGATGACAATTCATAATCCCCTAGTGCATTATTCAATGATTGAAAAGACAGTATCGAATGATTTCACTGTTTCAATAACTCTGCGGCACAATCACCAACACCCGTGCCAGACACTTTTTCAAGGACTTGTGAGAATTGACATGACACAGTGATCCAGCGGTTGAGAAGCAGCCATCTTTAAATGGAACGACATTTGATGAATGAAAAATTGTCGAGATGGTAAGGTTTCACCTTAATTTTCTCTAATACCGACTGCAATTGTCCCCACCCCATGCACTATGCATTTTAGTTCCAGGACAGATGGCGCCGCGAGTGTTTCTTTCAGTATACCCGGTATAGCGTCACATAAAATGTCGATCGAATGATCTTGTGATTTTTTTTTGAATTTCCAATCGATCAGTGCATAAAAAACATTAAATTAACTCCAATTATTAACTTATTGTTTAACAAAGTGAATTTCATCGTTTATTGACACTTTACATTGAATATTATATTCACTGTGATGATTGAAGAGATGTGAGTGTTGATAGGTAAGACCAAGACTTGAATATAAACTGTGAAATAAATTTGAAATTAATACATGAATAAGTGATGTCATTCACGGGAAATACAGTTGATGCACTCACCTCTTTATACAACTTAAGAGAGAGTTTATAATATTTTCCGACTGTGAGTTTTAATGGTGCTCTCGTTTGTTGAATAATCAGCATGAAGAGGCGGGCATTTTGCCGGTCTTCCATCATGCATTCATTGAAATATGCAATTACACCCAGAGCATCACTTTTCTCTTGCAACTTTTCTGCCAATAAGCAGAACAAAAAAATTGTCGCAGTAACCGAGAGAGCGAAAAAAATTTGCATCGCCAGTGTATATAAAGTGGAAACGTCGAGCTAAAATATAAAAAACAAGTGAACAAGAGAGAACACTTCATCAAGTCGTGAGGTGTTACCTGTGTAATGAGTGTTCCTAAGAAGCAGATGTCCAGAGCAGAGGTGAGTAACGTTATGAGAAAAAATATATTATAAAAATTATCAATTTCATTAACAAACTCACAAATCGCCACGTGAGTCTCGACAATGCATCTCAAACAATTGCACTCCCTCCGAATATCATTGTCCGATAAATGTCGGATTTTTCCCTCAAACATCTCGATTTTTCTCCCCAATATAATAAGTTGTGCATAAGTGTGGAAAACAACAATAACAAAAAATGATATCCCTCCAATCAATATCATTATCCATATACCCTCAGCTAGAGCCGTAGCCGAATAGCACAAAGTAAAAAAAAAGGGATTGGACAAGGGCAGGGGATACCACCAGGTATCTAATAAAGGTGCTAATTCTTCTCCCGCGATGATAGTGTTAATTAGATCAAACAATTCGTTATCTGAAAGTGAAATGATTTCATTACGCGTTTATAATTTTTAAGAAATCTCGTGATAATTGTTTGACATACCCAGGTACGTCCAACCCTTCAGTAAAATGAGTAACCATGTAATTTTCCTGGAAAACCCAGCATACCGATGCATAATTGTTCTGTCTTCTCTGGAAAAATCAATCTGCCAATCTCTTCGCATTTTCTCCACGAGAAGTGGGAGAATTTTTCGATTTGAGTAGAAAGCAATGATTGTGCTCATGACATGAGCATTACGTTGAAAAACACTCAAGCGATCCAGCAGTGGTGCAGCCATATTTTCATTATAGTAGGTTGCAATTAATTCCGGCAAAGCAGAAGATAGAATAATCGTAAGAGAAATGAAGAATCTCGTTCGATTTGATCTTGCAGAATCGCCCCATATCCCAAATGTATTCAGAGTAAAGCGAGGGAGTTCGATTTCCCAATTATGATTTTCATCGCTCGAATACTCATCAAATTCTCGATTCCACATCCGTTTCGTTAGTAATTGGAGTCGTTTCATTTTTTTATTCGTCAACTCCTCCCTTTGTAATGTCAGTTGTCACACTGACATTTCTTTTCAATATTCTCCTTATCGAATGCGACATTTGAACGCAAATAAATTCTACAATAGGTGACTCGTGTTATTGAATTGCAATAAAATTGTATGAACAATTTTTATATCGGGTACCAGATCGGTTGTTTATTTTCTTAGCTAAACACATGAAAAAATGCAATTGGCCACCTCATGTGGCAATTCGAGGTATTGACATTCGCTATCTAGATTTGGCGGCAAGTAAAGAAAATATTTTACAAAATTGGGTTAATTGGTAAATATTGGTGACTAGCTATGACATTAGGTGGAATTTATTGAGACAGTTGGCAAAGCATCGCCACTCCTCTGATGATCCAGTGCTCTTCGGATTTAACTGTAGGAATTCTCAGGGCAATAACAAAATTTGTGGAGTGCCCAGTAGTCGATAAAACTCCTCTGCGTTCGCTTGTTTTATACACTGGACTCGTATACGTCTGATTTGTTGGGAGATCCCCACGTTTCATGGGCACCAGCCAGATCTATGCGTTCCAAATAAATATTAGTATTTGAAATTCACGATTTTATAGATCTCTCATACATACAAAAGGCACTTCATCGTAAAGTATCTTGGGAAAGCTTTCCTCGAGGATCATTTTCTCCCTATCGAACCTGGCACCATCCAGGAAAAGCCCATAAACGTAGACACCGTCATCAGGTGGTTCGTCGAAAGAACTTTTCTTGAGAAAGACAAAGTCATAGACTAGCAAATCGATTGGTATGTGATATTTCCTCGCAAAATTTTGTATCGCCCCCGTGAGAAATGCTTGGGTGAAATAAAATCCTGAGACCCAGTAAGTCGTTGGAGGTCCATCCTCGAACCATTTCTATCGAGGAAAAATTAATGGCTGTTTATTTGCGTGAAATAAATTAGCGTAATGGCTTCACCTGCAGAAAGTGCAATCTCTGCAAAAAATCATTGACATAACTTCCCAGAGGCTTGAGTGATGGATAGGAATTTTTCATCCAGAGAGCCGAAATTTTCCCTTTCAAAATGGCATCCGCCACTTCTTCCAGCTCCAACGACATGACAATCAGTCCTGAAAGCAGGCAATTCCGCGGGTTCTCGTGAAAATTGTTTAATGGAAATAGTTAAATTGAGAGATAAGTGCCTTTGATCGCCTTCTGCACGTTGGCGAGACTCGTTCTGATGCAACTCAGCAGCTTATTGAATCGACCCATCTCCTGAACTAAAACTGTATTCATGCTTTGATTGTAGGATGTTGGGTATTTCTCGAGGGCTTCAACGAGATCAAAGTTCTTAGGGAGTTTACTCAGTATGTCTCCTGCAACTGAGAATATCACCTCGTCGGGCGACATTTCACCACTTCCCGTTGTTTTTGACGTTTCCTAAATGACAATTAATTTCTCATTATTTGAAGTCTCTCCTCCAATTGTTCCATAAATTTTCCAATTTTTAAATCAATTACATTTTCCACCCAAATCGTAATAATTACCTTGATTTCCCATAAATCCTGACGCAGTATAATTGATATTGAACAATTATTAAAAAATGATTAGTCTAATAATTCCGTTAAAAATGAATTAATCTCTTACCGTTCTTTCCTAATAGTCGCATTGATGAGAAAATATTTGAATCGAGGAATAAAAATAAAAATACGAAACTATGACTGAAAAATTGGACGAGAGAATACCTGAGTGAGAAGAAGTGAAAAACACAGTAAATCAGTCTCCTGTTGATCCTTAATAATATCCGCATTATCGTTCATTCCAAAAACACTGGGTGCAGTGATGAGAGGCAATTTTTTAGTGTAATCCATATAGGCCTCGTGTTCCTTAGCAGCTGGACAATAATAAGCGTCTGTTGTCTCGTCGAAGTAATACTTATCTTCATCAATGACTCCGCTGTAATTAAAAAAAAAATTCCATCCCAGTGATTTTTACTGGGAACAAAAAGAATTATTCTCTGCTCACTCGCTATAATATTGGCCTAGAATTGTATTGAGAGTTCGTCTGTCCCACGCATCAGTGACTCTTCCTCCATAATTACACTCTCCCGTGAGGTACCTGAGTGCTTCGAAGGGCACATCATCGTATTGATTCAAAAAAATATTCAATTGCAAGACACTGATCCTGAGATCAGTCTCATTGAACTCGTAGGGTGTGTTCCAACCGATCGGTCCGAATTTCCTCCTCTCCTGGACAATAGCGTGAAAAAAGCACAAACAGTACAGAAGTTTCTTGAACTCCATCGATTGCTTGCAGGACTCGAAAAAATCAGGCTCACAGATCGGGTCACTGAGATAAGACCTGATGATATTGGCTCGCAAACCTTTGGGCGGTTCATTAGTCATTTTTATACTGTTCTGGAGGACAGTAACTGGGAAGTGATCAGCGGGATAACTTGTCAGCCACAGGCGAAAGTCCGGATGAATAGTATCGGGTACGAGACCCTCGCAGATTTTCTCCAGGGTACCCATCCAACTTTTAGCTAGATGACAATTCTGGAGAACTATCCAGTGGCCATAACGGACACCATTGTTTATTAGTTCTTCTGCGATCGGTCCTTGACCTGGCGAATAATTTTTTTTTTTTAGAAATTTCATTCGCTTCGCTGTCCAAATAAATTTTCACTCTCAACATTTGGCGTACCCTGTCCCAGCGACAACGAAAACAATCGACTTGACCCAAATCCCTGGTCATCAGCAAATTTCAATAACACCTGTGCGGGATCAGCCCCGGGGGTTAATATAAATATCAAAGGGACAGCGCAGTTTGAATCTGCGTAGGATGATGCTAAATCGAACGGCGGTGGGTCGATGAATTGATGGCCAAGCTCGGCTGAAACAAAACCGCATCCACATAATTCTCCCTCGAATTTATTTCTCAAGATTTTCCACGGAAAAAATATAATTCTTCAATAGAAAGTTCATTTTTTAAAAATGATCGATCTAGAACGAATTTTTTCGATAATGAGATTCACGGATTTGTCCATAAAATCCATTAACTCACACTCCACAAAATTCTGCACAGCCGGCACGACTTTATCAGGTCGTACACATCGTAGCACCAGTAGTTTTTCCAACCCCGTTAACTCATCGAATGGGGAAGGAATTGGAACCACCTGGGGCTCTTTAGCATCGAAGAAAACTTTCCATGCGTTGTTGTTTTTAATGAAAGACTCTCGGATTCCCTAGGAATAAATTCATACCCCTAAATATGTAAAGTATTGATCGTCAACTCATGGAGACGTCACGGGAGATTAATCATTCACTGCGTATTGGAAATAAAACTCGACATTAACATTTTTCTGTGTCGAATCATCTCCTTGGGGCTCATTCAAGGTTACGAATAATGGATAGGCGAGTAAGAAAGGTTAATTAAATATAAATAATTACTTTAAACCCCTGAACATCATCCAACCGACAGAGTTCATCCCACAGTTTAACCGGCATCCAACTACAGGGATTAACGTGTGGATTATCCAGGCCAACTCCCCCAGTCAGCAGAAACATCCACTGAACTGGAGGTACCCCAGTACCCAATTTATCCCGCAGATTAATTGCCAGAAGCATGGAGAACAGGAGTTTATCCTTCTCAAAGAGAGAACGACAGACATTAACATATAAGGAGTACGTAAAATGCTTTCTGAGATCGGCAAGCCTCAATTCCACAGTCTCAGCTTGTCCAGTGTTGTCGATAGAGGCCTTGAAGAGATTAACAAACCAAACGAGCGAGTACTGGTACATGGGATCGATATTCGATAGAACAGCTATCGCGAAAAAAAGAATAGTCGAGTATTCGGCGATCGGTGTGTATTGCAATCTCGTGGTATCGATTGATTTTTCCGTGACTTCAGCAGCAGCTTGTTTTGCTTGAATATCATTGCTGAGGATTTTCGATGAGGTGAGGACACCGATCGCCTCCTCGTCCTCAAGAATATTCCCCTCGGACACGGATAGCACCTCCAAAATTTTGTCTTCGGTTTCCTTTAAGAGTTTTTTGTTGGCTGCTCCTTGTATAATCAACGAATTCTTCTCTGCCTCGAGATCGGGCCTCTCTTTTGCCACGACGATCCCCAGAAGTTGGTCTTCAAGACCACTGGGTGTTATCACAAAGTTGAGAAGCGTCACTTTGACTGCGATTTCTGGTAGATAATGGGGATTCCCAAGTTTCGTCGTGATGTAGAGACGGAAACTCATACTGTACTCAACGACAGAGTCACCCAGTTTGATGCAAAGCGCACCACCTTGTTTGAATGTCTGTTTGAGAAGAACGGGTTCGAGCATGGCGTCGAGATCTTCTGGCACGTTCTCCAAAAGAATCGGCTGTCCGAACTGAATGGCATTCTCCAGTACTCTGGGATAGTCCGGTTGTGTGAGTCTGATTATACTCATGTTGTTGGTCTTCTCCATGTTCTTGACCCATTTGTTAGCTTGACCCTGGGGATCTATCATTAGTGGCCAGCGTCTTGCATTCTTAATTATTATTCCGTTATCTATGGAGAAGCTGTCGCTAGGTAGACCGGCAATTATCCAAGAACGAATCAGGACTTGATCTCCTAGAACATCTTTTAGGGAGAAATCTTCTGTGCAGATGACGTCAAGACTTTGACAACGCGAGACCCAATTTTTTATTTGTTTTATACGATAGGGCGTGGTGAAGACACCCAAGTAGGCAACGATGCCAGAGGCTATTATTACGTCACCAGTAAGTTTCTCGTATCTATAAAAAAGTTGTTTTAATCTACACATGAATTTATCTGCAGTTGAAAGGTGATGCCCATTCCATTACCTTTCACCCAGTTCTTTAGCACTCTCTGACCACCTCGTGTATTCTCCCCCGAGCCCTCCAATCAATTCCTCCGCTCGTTTGAGTTTTTGCTCGCAGTCCGCAACTTTATCAATCATCCCTTGATAATCGGCTTTTTTCGATGACAAATTCGCCTCGAGTATCGCCAGTTTCGCCTAAAAGTCATTTAACAAAAGGATTTCATCGTGATTTATTGGATTCCCTTGGGGCAATTTATAGCGAACTTGGTTGAGATAACCCAACACGACTCCCATCAAATTTATTGATTGACGATGAAATATCTACCTGAACTTCGGCCAACTGCGCTCGCTTGGCATCCAATTTATCCATGGCCTCGTTATAAACTTGCTGCGCCTCGGCCAGGGCTTTCTTCTTGGGTGCAACTACCCTCGCAACTTTGTCATACTCCGTGATGGCGTACACCCATTTGCATAAACCTTCGCATGCTGTCGACGATGTCTTAACTTTTTCCGGATCGAAGTTTGGATTCGTTAGATAATCCTTCTTGATCTTGTCGATAACCTTTTCAGGGATGTTATCCTTATCAAAATTTATGAGAGAATCCAAAAATTTGGCGTCACTCAAAATTTTCATAGAGACTTTCCAATAATCATCGACTGATTTTCCATCGGGTCCCTGGACCTTCTCAGGTTTCATTTCCTTGAGGATGCAGATACTCTCCATTACGAGTTTGACGTTTGCGGGTGGATTTTTCATGGTCTTCACAATGGATATATCAGCTGGTGTGAGGGTATTCAGGGCGGCTTGAGCTGCATTGAGGATTGGCAATGCATCTGCCAAATTGGCATCGCACTCTGCTTTTATCTCCTCAGCTTCGCTCGCAACCACCATCGCAGCTTCCTCATCTACCTTTACAATTTTTTCTACCTCGGCAACTTCCGAGGATTCTTTCTCCACTGTTGCGAGAATTCTCTGCACATCTTGAGCTGCTGTTACAAGAAGTGGCTGCAGACCTTTGAGGGTCTCCTGCATCTCAGTCACCTGGTGTTGAGTCGAGTCCAAACGATCCAAACCACCTTCGTACCTTGTTTTCGCCAGCATTATTTCCCTGAAATACGTTGGAAAAAAAAATATATTCCAATATATATTCCTAAAAATAATAATTCTCCCTCACAGAAGGGTATTTCACTCACTTCCTCTTATTATCCAAAAGATCTTTAAAAGTATTAATCATCTCTAAATAGGACGTGGGTGTGACATAATTAAATCTCCCCAGTCGAATTCGAAATTCCTCACTCAATTCTTGCGTTGACACATGAAAATACTGGCACATATCGATGCCAGCCTTCCTCTCATGATCCGACAGTTTAATTTCCCCCAGGAATCTCGTTGCAACAGCAAGTAGTGCATCCTCTGGCCATGGCTATCACGATCATGATTAAAAAGCAAATAATACAATGATTACTGTATCGGTTTAAACACCGAACGCAACAGAATGTAAACAAATTTTATTGGCTCAGAGGGTGGTGGGGGTTTACCTGGAGCCAATCGATCGTGCAACAGTTGACGAGGGCGGGGAATGTTCTCACTCGGTTTCGAAAGCCATCGCCAATCGGTGACATGGCCACCACTATATGCAATTGATCACGTGCTATTTGTACAAATAAATTGAACAGAGCGACGGGACTTCCATCTGTTTGGTTGGCCCGTTCTCGTTGGCGATCGATCTGTCGCATTTTCTCGCAAATCTCGGCTTTTTCATCGGTATTGAAAAGATTTGGCACTTCACCGGAGTTCAACATGTTACTGATATCCTCCAGGAAGCTCTCTTTTTTCAACTGGCTATCAGTGAATAGGAAAGTTGAATGAAGCTCAGTAGCTGTTGTCTTCTTCAGGATCATCTTCAGATCCTCGTGCCACTCGTGAACACCATATTGCTTGCTAATCTCCACCTGGAAGAGATCGTACTCGCAGATGTGAGAAGCTAATTTCGATAATGACTGTCTTCCTGAACCACCGACACCGACAAGAAGGGCATGACTTCTCGGTTGCTTGATGATCCTCGCTATCTTGGATAAATGCTCTATAGCGAATCTGAAGAGTACGAGATTCATCGGCTTCTTCGTCATTGAATTGTACTCAATCAGATACCCCTCGACGATCGACCGGAGAAGCTCAAGATCCGGGATCTCTTGATACAAGCGGGTGTCAGCTTTGGGATCCAGAAAATCACAGAAAACAAGCTTTCTCAGTTCAACTTCTCCGATGGGTGCGCTCCCCAAATCCTCGAAGAGGGCATCGAAGTTGCCGTCCATTCGCTTCTCCACGGTTGTCCTGAGCTGTTTGATCAGCCATTGGATGTCCACCTCATCGACCAATCTATCCCCGAATACTCTCAGAATCTCATGGACCCACAGTCGTTTCATGTTGGCCAGCGTCGGCATAGATTCTGGAACAGACAACAGCACTCCCTGGATGACTCTCGAGAAGTCCCTCATATTGAACAAATAATGGGACTTGGATGGAGTTGGCAAAAGATTGATCAAACTCTCTTTATAAATATCCAGCGTTGCCATCACGACTTGATCAATGCAAGGATCAAATTCCTTGCTGAAACCCCTCGTGTCCAAATGCCAAAGCACAATTTTACTGAAAATAGTGGTCATCACTTGGTCCTCGAACTCCGAAATGGCGAGGGTGAAGAAGTGTCTCTTGAATCTCGGGGTTACATCCTTTCCCCCGCTGACGGGAGGTCCCATTGCGCACATCAGCTGAACCTCGATGAGCTTTAAAGGGTTCTTCTCCTTCCTATCATACCACTGGCCGTGGTCCAATAATTGCCGCAGAAGTTCGATCGGCGGTTGCGCCCCATACGTCTCCTTCAATGGCATCGATACATCATCTACAAAAACAACCCATCGTTTACCAATCGGTGGACCATAAACTCCCTTTCTCCTCTTGTCTAATTTACTCATTACAATGTCCTGGGTCTGATTCGCCGACGTTTGGGCCGAGAAATTGATAAACAGCGGTTTAAACTTAAGAGTATCATTTCTCTTAAGGAGAAAATCAATGATGTAAACCGACTTTCCGGTGCCAGTCGGGCCGACAAACAGCACAGGCTTTGAATGCTGGACGAGTAATTGAAACAGCGTAGTATATCTGATAGTCTCGACGGTCGGCACAATAATCTGATTTACTGGTACGTCACGGGGTATGGGGGGAGCATTCATCAATTCATCGGACCACAGCTTCCACTTGCCCTTGCCCTCTCGAATGAATCGATAATCAAATACTATTCCGTCCTTGGGCATTACGAATATGTAAGGCTTGATCGGTGGTTGAACGACGTCTGGAAGTTGAAACAAATCAGCTAAACTCTGAGGAAATTCCTTCTCAAGAAGCCCTCGGAATAAAATGCTGAATTTTTCACGGTGATTGGCCTCCAGAGTTCCACCCATTGCCCATATGCAAGAGAAGAAGAACGAGCCCTCGAGTTGAGCTCTCAAATCAAGCTCACTGGGAATCGATACTTCCTTCTCTGGATCATCCTCTCGGTAGTCATCGATGAAGCAATCCATCAGATAAGTTATGGATCGTAGAAGATTGGCGTCTGGCATTGGGCACATCTCTTTCAATCCACCCCTCCGAAGAAGATGGAAAAGGGGCCTGCAGAAGCGAAGGAACAATGAGTCGTAGAGGAACGTCTTCAAGAAACTGGTGACAAGAGGAGGAAGGGTTTCCAACCAGGATTGAAGGAGTGGCTCCCAGCCGAGAGCAACGGGCTCCATGTAGATCATACCGCACCGGGAGACTGTAGCTGGTGAAGCCGCTTCCAAGTCCATCGGTTCAAAAATTAAATTAGTTGTTTTAGCTAATTGTATTATCTCGCCGCTCATCAGGCACAGTTTTTTATTATCATCTAGAACTGTGTTCATGTTCTCTATCCATACTGCGTCGATAGGTCCATCGAATATCAACCATTTTCGATTGCTATTCGTTGAAACCGCGAATGTTCTGTAGCTGATCGCTAGAACACCATCACTCCATTCGTGGGAAGCTGGATCGAATTGTCCGTAGAGTTGTCCCATTGTTATTGATTTTGGATTTATTACAGTTATTTCAACTTTGTGTTCGTTAATGAGATTTCTCTGTTCACAAATTTCTAAGGCGGCAGCCAGCATCTTGTAGGCCTCGGTCTTGCCTCCGAATGGATATCCCACAATCATAAAACCATGTCGAACGATCATCATCTCGTAGATCTGTTGAATCTTCTCGAGAAAAACTGGTACACATTGAATATTGGCTGTCTTACATGCCTCAAAGATGCAGCTGTTGAGATCTGTGTAGTCGGACTCTGGAAGGACAACATTGGGAAAGAGATCTGAAGTAATGCCTTGGAACAAAGGTAAATCGTGACTCAAGAACTTCGGGAGATTGACGTCTGTTATGCTACGAAGCATCAGAATATCCTCACTCTCTTGTGGATATTTCAATTTGAGATTACCTGCGGCAACGAGAACGGACTTGACTGCTCTCATCCCATAGTCGTAGTGGCTTTGACTCGACAGTTGTTCCGAGCACAATCGATACGCCATTACGATTTTTACAGAGAGAGGACGAGCATTGTAGAAGCCGTAGGAGTAAAGAGTATTTTCAGCAATGAGACCATAATCGGGAACCATCATGGCAACGGATCGGAATAATGCCTTCAAGTTATCCGGTAACTCCGAGCGTCCCGCATACCCCGGATTCATCGTGATAAAAACTGCACAAGTCGGATCCAAATTTAATTCAGTCCCCTCGAAAACAAGTTTAGTCTTCTTTGCTTGAATGGCGCGTTGGATAGTGAGAATTTGTTGGGCAACGACCGACAGAACTTCCAAGTCAATTCGATTGAATTCATCGAAGCAGGACCAAGCCCCAGAGGCAGCCAGTCCTTTGAAAAATTTTCCCAATGCTATATAGTCTAGACCGTCAGAACAATTGAAGACAACGCATTGTTTGGCGATGGCTTTCGCCAAGTCTTTAGTTGTCTCGGTTTTTCCGGTGCCCGCGGGCCCCTCTGGAGCGCCTCCCAGATTCAAAGCTAGGGCACCAAAAAGAGTTCTGTAGCAACGATCAGTGAGAGGTGTGATAACCAGACGTCCGCTATTCCCAAGGTACTCATATCCGTATTTCAGGGAGGAATTAATCATCATGGTAATCATGTTGTCCTCGAGCCAGTAGTATCTCAATTGACAGAGCCATTTGAAGTCAGTTGCTCTCATTACTTGTTTCTCCCACAAATCAACAGTAACGTCTCTTGAGTGAACATCCAACGTCACTAGAGCTTCCAATGTCGTTCGATTCTGGGTCGATAGTTTTCCTCGAACAAGAATGATTATCTTATTGAGCTCTTCATTGCACACGTCGACGTAGGCCTTGAGTGCATCTAAACCGTGTGGAAAAGCTTCCGTAACATCAGAGGTCCAATACAATTGACCAACACAGAGAATCGTTTGACCGGGCCAGTCAAGCACCCATTGAGACCGTTTCTTTCCAAGGTAAGCATCCTTCGCTCGGATTACCTGAGCCTTGATGCTCTTTTTCATATCCGTCTCTAACTCCACGAGCCACTTTTCCACCTGTCCCCGAGCACTCGCTGTATCAATCTTATCTTCCAGTATTATCATTTCCCCCTCCGATGACTCCATCGTTGTCACCTCCATCTCCTCCGTGAATGCTAATTTAGCGATGCCCTCGAAGCATTTTTTTAAGTGCGGTTGAACCCGCGTCGGGTCTTTAGTCTCAGAAAGAATCTCGAGTAGTTCGTCGTTCGATAGGAAGAAGAATCTCGGAAAGAAGAGTCGTTTCTTCTCCAAGTAGTCATTGAGACCTTTTTGAATTAGATCAAGGAGACCCGTACATTTTTTCAGTCTGTCCAACATCTTATCAATCTCTACGACAGACATTACTCTTGGATCTTGCATTACCGAGTTCATTATGTCACGCCATATTTTGTCGACAGCGCTAAATCGTCGACCCTCTTCTGGCATTTGTTGTTGAATGTCTGGAGATGAAAATATGGGTTCTAGATACATCCAGGTTGCCTGTACTTTCAACCAGTAGTCCATTATATCCTGGAGTAGATATAATTTGGCTTCCCACTCTAATGTCTCCTTCTCGAAAGGCTTTATGTAGAGAGAGTTCTTCATGGTTTGGGCTTTCGTCAGGTGATCGTCCAGCAGCAGCTGAATCTCATCGACACTCGCTATTACGTATGTCCCGGTGTCTCTGTATGGATTGACAATAAATTCAATTGGTGTCCAGTCATCATGCATCTTGAGGAGAGCCTTCTCGAGATTGCTCTCCTTTGTGGCAGCTTCGGATATCCCCTCGAATTTCGACACGTACTCATCCAGACCAAAGTCTATTATTTTAGCGAGCGTCATGTTCTCGTCGACTTTAATAGGAAAGCCCACGATCTCGGAGACTTGAGTCCAATGTCTGTTCTTCATTCCTGGATTTCCGAGATTAGCTATCAGTGCCATGTGCTCTCGAAACTCCTCTATTTGAATTCTCACGGTCTCCGCGAGTTTTCGAACTGCCGGTTCCTGGAATATTTTTTCCAGCTTGAAAACTGTTCGATAAGCTGTTCCAGAGTCTGTCTCGATGGTCTCTGGATCGTGGCTGCCGATCATCGATGTCATCCACGTGTGGTGTTGGGAGATGAAATCGCAGGCTACATCATAAAATTTTTTGTACGGTGACAGCTTGTCAGCGATTTTTTTGCGCAATGGATACTGCGATAACTCCCAACCGAACATCTGTTCCTCCTCGTTGAACGAATCGATCGTGTCCATGGCACCCACCAGGCGATTTTCCAGGCTCGTCGCTTTTTTCTTATAGCGGAATATTTCGTCAACGCTGCCCCAGTACTGCATCTCGTCGCAGTATTTCTCCCAGATTTTTAAGTCACTGTGGAACTTGTCAATTCGTGACAGAAGGGCCTCTTGATACTCACCCTTTTTCGAGTCGATTATTTTCAAGTGTTCTTCGAAGATCGAAGCCATTCGATGATACCTGCAAAATTTATTGTTCACGTTGGTGCTGATGATGATGATGAGTGGTGCCAGGAAAAATGGAGATTTATGAGGAAGTGATTACCATCCAAATGCAAAATTATTGGTCTTCAATTCAACAGGAGTGAGCAGCGTGTAATCCGACAAGAATTGAACGTACTTTATGACTCCTCTCAATCGATTTTCCAAGTCGAGGAGCATCTCTGTTTGAGCTTTAGCGACGAATTCCTTCAGCGCCATTAGTTCTTTTGTGTTGGCGGGAACACCGAGAGCTCGCTCCGCTATATTCTCATAATCCTCTCCGATGCTGCATCATGAAAGAATTTTCTTGGTAAATACTGTTTCCTATCACTAGATTTTTTATCGAATTCGTCCCAAGGGAAAAATTCATATTCATTGATAAATCATTTGATTCATTCTAATTCCTTCATTTTTTCTACCCTTTTTTACCTACATCCTGGACTTTGATTGATAATCCGCTATCATTTTATCGACGAGATTGCCCTTCAGTAAATTGGCAATTCTTGACATGTACTCCATGAAATCCTCTCGATGCACATCAAAAATTCCGCTGAAGAAAGTACGATCGAATTCCACTGGAATATTTTTCGCGAGTTTATCGTACTTGTCGATGAGTTTCGAGTATTCGTCGAAAGTTCGGGGTGGATCGGCCATTAGAAATTTTTTTACCAAATCCTCATCCACTTCGTTTATCAATGTCACGTATTTATCGAAATTTTGGATTTGCAACTCGGGGCCAATTCTGTGTTCTTGAACGACTTCAATTATTTGGTTTTTGTATTTATCCAGAATTTCCTCCAAAATTATCGGCTATAAATATTCATGAATATCTGATTATCAAATATTTCACGATTAATGAGAGCACGAATAACTCGAGATATTATTAGATTAATGAATATACCTTTAGAATGCCCTTACTGGTAGTAAATTTATCATACAACTTCCGCTCTATTCTCGGATATCCGCAAACAGCTTGATAAAGTGATCCCAGTAATGAGAGTAATGCATCCGTAAATGCTTTGAATGAGGGATCGAATCCAATAGTCTTACTCCTCACCACAACATTCACGTTGAAGCTGCAATTTATGTGCTTCGGAGAAAAAAAAAACCAAAAAAAGAAAAATACAATTGCTTTCCTCATCCTATGATTCAATTGCTATTGAATTTCCGCGAGTGCATGCGCAAATAAAATGAATGTGCCAAGTCTATATTTCTACAAAACTCTCACAGTTATTTTACTCACGATCAACTGTCGTCTAGATCCCCTACTCTGTGTAAAATATTCAATTCCATTTAATACCATCTAATTTGATTGCAATAATATATCATTAAATTAAATATAAAGAGATTACCGGGAATTATATTGTATAATTATATTGATTTACCGCAACTTTTATGAGAAATTCCACATAATCTTCCATTGAATTGAGACACAAATTGCAGAGCTGGCTCTCCATGACAATCGCAAGGCAATTGAAAAATTTTGTAATACTCTGTTCATCACTCTCGGCTGGTAATTGACCCTTCCTCTTCGCCTTTAATTAATTGACCGTCAATGATGCTGCAATTGTATTTTAATGAGGGAAAAAATGGAGTCCCACCTACCACTGTCACGATATTCATCAATTTTGGCAGCCAAATTCGGCAGAGTTTGTCTATAGTCCTCTTCACCATGGAATTAAACGTGTATTCGAAACTGGAGAGATCGTAGGGCTCGTTAGAGGCTAGCAATTCGGTTTTATCGATTAATCTCAGAGCCCTTGAAAATTCAATTCATTCACTGAGCTATTGAATTATTTAATTAGCTCATTCATTAATAAACTTGAGGGGACTATCTCCGGAGGGATTTACTCACTCGAAGTCCTGGTACCACAATTCCAGGACCTTCTTCATGCAGGGATGATAGAGATATAAATTCTTCTTGAGTTTCTGCCTTGACCTCTTGTATCTGACGGAGAATTCTGGAGGGAAATTCTTTATCTCGTATTTTTCCTTTGTCGTTCCCTCCTGGAAATCATCATTACATGTATTAATATATATATAATTATTCGGACAGTGTTGCACCTGTTTGTCTTGAATCTTCATTCCGTCCTCGAGTGGATCCTGCAGGACAAAATCGACTATTGATTTTTTCAAGCTCATGGCATAATCCTCCCTCGCATCATCAATAACACAGGCCAGGGTATTTTTGAATCTAGACTTCCACTTGGTCGGCACGAGGCTGAGAATCTCCTGGAGGAAGTCTGAATTTATAGGAGCCACATGAACATCATCAATTCCCAGCATGATGTAGTAGTAATATTTCAATAGATCCTCAGTGTCCTGGGCGTGAGTTATTTTATACTCATCGATATCTGCACCCGGATCTTCCTCCAATTTTTGATCAAGAATCATTCTCACGACATTTCGCCGGAATTCCTCTCGATTCCTTCGGAGTGTTGTGTAAGAATTTAATTTGAACGCCTCCTCCTTCTCTCGTCGTAATTTCATCGGCGAGGGCTTTCGTTTTCTATTAAATTTATTTATAATTTTAATTTTTACTTAAAGGGGATGAAATGGAATGAAAATAAAAAATAGACAGTTGAAAGTTTTTTGAAAAATTCAGCAATTTCGCAATAATGGAAATTCCCGCAAAAAGTGGTGAGTTCTGAGCAAAACTGCGGTAGGTGGGCTACTCAGAATTGTGGAATTACCTAGTCCTTCTAGGATCATCCAATATTGATATCGGGGGAGCCAGTACACTCTCATCTTCATAAAATCCACCCCTCAGGTGGGTAATTCTTCTTCTTTTACTTTGCACAATCTCGTTGCACTTGCCTTCTCTATTTTCACGACTCGTGCTTTCATCGTACGTAACCATCAACTTCTTACTCTTCAAGTCTCCACTCATAACTCAATATTTACCCGCCGAAGGGCACCAGAAACTCCTCAAGGAGTGAAACACTTCGAGTCATCTGCTTTAATTAATCGACAGGGAGAAAAATTTAAATTTATCTTAACGCAATTAATCAGCGGCAGCTTCACAATTAGTTGACAATGGCATCTGTCAACTAGTGGTAAACGATAACTAGAATGCAAATACCTTGGGGATGGGGTCTTGAAGTTTGATCTTATCGAGTTGGTTTCCATAGCTGCAATGTGCATTGGTTACCAAGGGTATGAATGTGTTTGGCTTGAACGTGCTCTGGTTAGACTGGCATTAACCGCTGTTTGAGTCCTGACGACGATCGATGTACATTCAATTATTCTCGGTATTAATTAGCTGTGAGTTGGGATGGCACTGGCTCAATATTAACTTTGACAATATCCCTGATGTGTGGGCATCAGTCATTGTCTTGACAAATTAAAAAATTGATTCCAACTTCATGTCGTACAGACGTATCGCTTCTATCATTTTCTTAACTCCAATTGAACAGAATGGGACTGGGGTATACAATGGACTCATTTATAGTAATAATGATAATTTAAAAAGGCTACAAATTACATTCAAATTTTTTATTCATAAATTTGTTTATTGCACATCGATCTATACATAAAACATTCCACACTATTTCGATTTCGTGTTCGCCAATTAAATTGTCCGACCAATTAGGTAAATAATTCATCCACTCGTATTGAATACAATATTAATGATTACGTGGGGATTTAATAATTCTCCAGTAGACTTGATTGTCACGTTTCCAGTAATGATATAACAATCTTTGATCCCTCGACATGACTCGTGCAATTGAAAATTCTCCAATTTTCTAGTGACCAATTAATTCCATCTTGATAAAATTCTAGATACATAATCCTTTGTATATAAACTATATGACAAATATTACAGCAATTGGATAGATACATATGTACACACATACCGTCGTCTCAATTACACTATTGAATGTCAAAAGAATAAACATTAATAAATTTGTCCAGTTGTAGATTTAATACAGTTCATTCAGTCGATCGACTCACATGCGTATGATTATGATTCAATCTTCAAATCTTTAATTACGTTTGGAAGTAAATACGGCTGGAGGTAAATACTTATACGATCATGGTAATATGTAGAATATACGAGGTATGAGCTCCAGTGACCAAGTGAAAAGCTTGAAATACCGAATTATCGATTTTGTCGGTCACCGTTCCCAACTCAATGCTTCACCTGCACATGCATTCACGTACATGCACTTTTTTTTTCATGACTAGAGTCTTCACTTCACAATATTAATTCGTCAAAATTTTCTATTCGTTTAATTTTCACGTTTTTCCAGAACGAAGTGGTACAACACTGGAATTCTCTCCTATTTTTTCAATTGTGCAATTATTTCAGGAAGAAAAGATTTCGGAAAAATTCACCGGATTTTTGTTGTCAAAAATGTTCTGCAGAAAAAAATCACTGGTTAATGAATTTTCAGTTTTACCACTCCCCCAATGAGTCAATTAAAATACCAAAAATCCGATGATCCACTTAAAAAAATGTAAATATTTCTTAAGTATCGATTGATATTTCCGTTTTAGTTGTCTTGTTCTTTATAATAATTATTTGTGTTCTCATATCCAACGCGCTAATTGGATTTTTTCATGACTCCGGTATGAATTTTCCTCCACAAGTTTAACGTACAAAGGAAGCCATCTATTCTCATTTCATTTACCGAGAGTAATTTTTCCCTCGCCATTTTATGCACATTGTAGATAATTTTTTACAATTTATCGCGACGACTACTCATCGGGCTAAGGTCTTGTGAAGCGATACCGGTACGGCGTCCAGGCGAATAACTCTATGGAAATAAATACATAAACGCCTGTAAAACCAACCGAACTCCATCGATTCATCTAAATACTACCGTACACGACATGCAAAAATCTTAAAAATTAATATTTTGGAAGCCACGCTAACTTGATGACTAATTGATTAATGTTGGTGTAGATTGGTGATCAGACCTACTCACTGCAAGCTATCGCAAAATAATTTAAAAAATCATAACACTTTAACCACATAAAACGTGATAAAATCTCTTAAAATGGCAGAATGATATGTGACGATGAAGATGATAGGCCTTTCATGATGATGATGATTGTATAATTTAAATATCGTGTGGCAGTTGCATTGAACACTAGTTTCAGCGCGTCAATTATTTGAAAAATTAAATGTTATAACGACAACATCGGTATCAAATGGATTAATAAAAACAGTGTGATAAAACCAAGGGTGAAAATTCACACAGTCTCTACGATTTACCATTATTGGTGAAGCATGGACACAGGGCGTTCAGTATCCGGTTGCAGAAGCCACGGGCTCGGCTGTTCCATCCGGTGATGATATCTCCACCTTTCAATCTACTCCCTGCAGTAACATGCATTCGCATTTTTTTTATTCACACCCGTAAAATCAAATAAATACTCCACTATTCAATCGACATTCCATTATTCACCTCTGAATTCCCGGCAATTCATCCATTTTTTTTCTCTCAAATTTCAGAAAATCGAAATCAAATTTATCGAAAAATTCAAAGTGACAATGAAAAAAAAAAAAAGAAATATCCCATTTTTTTTATTGATATTTATTATTTTATGAGTGAATGAAAGAAAAACTACTGTCTGCTCAAAACCTATGAATGATCTACTGACAGGAAGCTGCACTAAATTACCTTCACTATTTGCGCCATCCTGAAACACACAGGAATAGCAAAAATGTTACAGGAATTAGCCTAGTGGGTCCAAGCATCAGGAATAATAATTGCTACAGCAGCGATTCACAGGGAAACCAATGACTCATTAGTGCCTCAACAAAGCGATCAATGAAGCGTGGATTTTTTTTTTTTAAAAAGGGTGAAATACATTAAGTCATTCTGATGGCACTAATGGGTCGAATCAGTGAGCATTAACGAGTGTTCATTAACGTGGGTTGAATTACTCTGTTGAGGCATTCTTAACACGAAGTAAACGCACATGATTATAAAAAAAAAAGAATTATATTGACATAAAAAAATATTTCTGGTCATTTCCAGTGATTAATGCTCATTGATTTTGACGTCTGAATTAAGATAAGAAGATCCTAAGGGGTATTTGACAACTTCTTATTTTATGACAGACGTTTAATAAGTTTATTAAATATTTATTTGTTGGACAAACCTCGCCTTGAAGTTTTCTCCTGTGCGCCTCGGCGGCCGCAGTTTCTATCACTTCAGAAACAAACTTTGTCGTTTCTCTCATGAGTTCGTCATCGCTCTTAAAAGCCAGTTTCCTCTCCTCTAAATTGCCCGTCATCAGTTTACTCTCTTGCTCCTCCATCACCGGTGAATGAAATGACAGTGTCATTTTCCCGCTCATCTCTGTCGTTCTCTCGATCCCCGGCCTGTCAAATCCTTAACTTCCCATTCTCTGATTTCCCCTTTTTCCCAATCTGTCCACCTAAAATTCAATGATTAATCGAGCAATAAAAAATAAACCGAATTACCATAATTCCTCTAGAGACATCATAAACCTTGAGAAGCCGCGATAAAATAAGTCTCTGGAGAAATGCTCCTATGATGTTTGCAAAATGATATGAAATGACTTTTAGGCTTATCTCATTTTATCATTCCACGAGTGAATTAAATAGAAATATATGACTTGGTCGCGACTAACTTGCGATTAAAAAAATCCACAAAAAATCCCTGAACTACAGGTACCCCAAAATGGATTTATCCCACTTCCTCGAAATTCCCTGGATTATCCCTCCCCGAATTTTGATGCAACGCCAGTAGAAACATCCCGAGATACTCAGCCACAGGTGGCACACATTCAATTCCCCCAGAGTACCACCAAAATTATCACAAAAAATGACTCATCCAATGAAACACATGTATTAACACCTGACAGACCGGCTCACATGTCAATTACCATCATCCACTCCAACTCAATTAAAATAAATAATTAGAACCGAAAATACGCACCTCTCCGCAGAGCTCAACGGGGAGGCAAAAAATCCACCGGAATTAAAATATCAAAAAAAAAGAAAAAATCGAATCAATAATTTTTTTGACTGAAAATTGAGTTTTGTTTGGAGGAAAACTCCCGGCGACCCGGATACCTCGTAATGATCGGTCGCCTCGAGCCTGGCATTGCCCGACTGAATCTCTCATCCCCTCTCTTACCCCCTCTCTCACCCCCTCTTTCATCCCTCACCCACCCACCTTTCAACCATCCCCTCTCACCCGCAGGTACATTTTGCAAGCATGCGCCGTATCGATACCGATGTGTCGCGGAATCAAGTACATTTTATTTATTTTTTTTTTTTCGTCGATCCCCTATTTTTCTCTTCTATTTCTCCGCGATCTTTTGTCGCTTCTCGATAGAGGGTGAAAAGGGGTGGTAGAGGGAGATGGTGATGGCGAGAGAGGGAGGGGGGAGGGGTGGGTGATAGCGTGAATTGAGTGGGGAGAGCACCAGAGGATACAGACGGTACATCTCAGGGAAAATGAACAAGTCAATTGATTATTGAATAAAAAAATTGCGGAATTGGGTGGTGGGGTATGGGATTATCCGTTCGGTTAATGACTTTTTATATCAGAGCTTCGAATTCTTGGTGAATTAAAAAATTCATTAAAGAAAGAATAAACAATTAGTGATGAATGATTAAATATAATGAGTGATTTATTAAATTCTCAATTTACAATGTCTCGTTTAATTTATTAACTAATTGCGAGGAATGGGAGAATTTAAAGGGGATCTACCACGACGGGTAAACCTCTAGATCTTTCTGTTTGCGCATCTGGAGTCACTGGAGTGAAATACCGAGTACTAGAGAGTTTATCTATGGAAATTGCTCACTCAGTGAGAGCTGAATATAACGTGTTACAATGCGGTTATTTTCGAATCGATTTTCACGGATAGTAGGAAGAATCACGGTGGAGTGGACATCGAGGGGGTGGTGCGCATAAACCCACCCCCTGCACTTTGTTGTCACGATCAATGACCCGTTGTCATGTCCACTAATATCAGCTCTTTATCACCCGCATAAAAATACCAAATTTTCACCCTCAACAGGAATTTATTGTTTCTTCTTTTTGCATTTTTTTTTCTTTCGCAACAGCTGTCGCTCCCAATAAGCTCTCCAGGTTCTCTGAATTCTTTTTGCTGCACGTTCTCTCATGAAGCTGTTCAAACTCTCCATGAATGCCTCACGTAACACCGTCTCTCTTTCATTTTTCACCTCCACATACTCTATCTCTTGAACTCTCAGGGCTTTCTGTTGTCGTGAAAAAAAAAAATCTATTATTTTCGTGTTCCGGTCTTTGTTGGGAATTCTTCATAAAGTACCTCGAGAGTCCTGAGTTTATTTTCCAACAAATCCGATTCCGCTATCAGGGATTCCATTGTGCGGTGTAGCTCGCCTACTTCTCTGTCGTATTTCGATAATATTCCGAGGTACCGCTGCTCCACTTCTTTCCTGGGATCAGAGGATTGAGAAATCAATTAGGAATAGTGGTGAAAAGCTACGAACTCGAGCATTAAAAAATATTTATTCTTTATCTGCAAATGGAGGATGAAAGATAAAATATTTGAATGATTTATTTCACCTTGCAGCGTAAATTTCTTTTTCCTTTTTCAAATTTTCCGCACACGTATTTTTATACTCAATCTCTCTCAAGGTAATCTCATCCGTCATCTGTCTCTTCTCAATCAGCGTTTCATCCGTTATCTCCCTCATCTGCACCTCCAATTCCTCCCTAAAAACACAATTTTTATTTAATTTTTCTCTCCATTTTCTCAACGTCTTTGATAATTTTAATCCTCCATTCCAGGAATAATGTTAGAGGTAAAATAATTATGAGAAGCACCTTCTCCTCGTAATTTCCAGTGTCCGCTGCAACTTAATTTTCTCCAGCAACTTTCTCTCCCTGCCAATTTCTTCCTCAACTTCCTCCACTGATTTTCTGTGTTCCAAACGTGTATTCTCCAGAGTTATCCTTAAAACTTTGAGAGAAGAATAACTGAGACCTGTGAAAAGTCGATTCAAACGAGCATGCACTCACCCTCGGCTTCCTGGAGAGCTTTTTTCCCATTGACAAGGGCCCAAGCTAAATTGGATGCTCTCTCACGTTCCTCTTTCGGAGTTGTTCTCATTCTGGTCTCGATCATCCGACCCAGGTGCTCCAGGTTTTCCATTAAATTCGTTAAAGCCGTCTGATCCTCTGTGTTATATTCATGGCCGAAGGTCTCAAATGATTTACCAACTCGCCACCTCAAGTTCCCCAGGATTGTTCGCATTCTGCATGCCGACACATCACGTTCCATTTTTTCAATTTTAAATATGCCGATTTTATTCCTTTAACAATGATTTTAATTCTTTTTCACCTTCGAATTAGATAAAATTGTCTATTTATTTTACGGAGTGTTGGGATCCATGAACTTGATGTTCATGTGGTCGGTGCACCACCAATACTGGAACCAATTATATTTCACCTGCAGGATATCATCCAGTGGTTTCTCTGGTGAATTTAACGACCAAACAAATACTCATGTGTTGATGTGAAAGGCATGCCAAAAAAAAAATCAGTCGAAAATCGGTTGAAATTCCAATTAAATCGACTTAAATCAAAAACCAACTGCCCTAAAATCGGTTCAAATTTTTAAAGACATTGTCCTAGACCTAAAAAATGATCGTGAAAGACGTCCTAAAAGCCCATAATTCCCTCTAATTCCCTCTGCACTCTCATCAATTAATTTCCACTCACCTAATTTCCGGAGGAGGCTAGCCGCCTCGACAACCCCGAAAATTGAAAATAAAATTGCATTCCCGTTGAATCAACCGAGAAAATCTCAATATCAAATTTTTCACCGCGCCCTATCGGTTCTCACTGCACATGCGCCAGATGTCATGTGACAATTGCAGTGTGTCTGCGCATGCGCGTTTCCCAGGCCAAAATTCTAGCTTTTGTGTGACTATCAGTGATCCTCATTGCAGTACGTAACCTACCATCAGAGGAATTAAAACACAAAAATAAAATTAACTCAACATTTTTATCACCCTTGACGAGAATAAAAATAATAATAACCCGAGAACAACTGCACGATGACGACATCATCGAGTGCACCTTTCCGAATAAATTGCAGTGACTGATTCACCTCGATGTACTTTACAATCGGATTGACGACAAAAAGCCCAAAACATTGAATTGGTTAAAAAAAATTGAAATAGTGAAAAGAAATACGAAATGGCGTATCGCGGGGTAAAGGGCTCCGATCCATTTGTTTCGAAAACCTCGAGGAATGAGCGTTTTGCCCAAATGTCAAAGCAGGAGCAAATAATACAGCAGAAGAAAATGGAAATACAGGCGAAAATGCAGGAGATGAAGAGCAAACAAGCCAGTGAGAGTGTGAAAAAAAGTTCAGGGAACAGTGGAAATAGTACGGGGAAAAATAATTCTGCAGTCAAGTGAGTGGATTTTTTTTTTTTGGTTTTTTTCGTTAAAAAGATGAATGCACATTGGCTGGAGCTTCCCTCAATGTCACGATAACATTCTATTACCCCCTAAAAATAATCCACCTATAATCGTGAGCTCATTCCACCCACTCAAACCCCCCAACATCAATCTCTCAACTCATTCCCTCAAAACCTAGGTCATCAGCGATTAGAGATAAGTTTTATTTATAGGAAAGAGGACGAGAAACCGGTGCCCCAGCCCACCGTCAATTTATTTGCCAACGACGGCAGTTTCCTAGACCAATTCAAGAAAATAGCGCATAAAGCCCCAGTAAAGCCAGAGGTACCCCAGAAGCCCGAGGAGAAACGAGAAGAGAGACCAGAGCGTTCAGATCGAAGTGATCGTCCAGAGAGAGTCGAAAGAACGTACGAGTCTCGAGAGAGACGATGGAATGGCGAGAAAAATCGCGACTGGGAGAGACGAGAGAGACGTAGGAATGAGACACGATGGGGCAGAAGTTCGGAGCGTCGAAGAAGTTCCTCTTCAAGTCCATCGCCCCCCAGACATCGTTCCTCACCCTCTCCCGATGCCAGAAAACCCGTTTACCACCAGGTGAACGGACCTCGTCCTCAGTTCCCTCCCCAATGCCTCCAGAATCCCCAGACCACTGCCATTCCTCCTCTGGTGCCTCCTCCAATGATACAAATGACGAAAGTACCACCACCTACCCTGAGAACCATCAATCCTCCTGTTAATGTCCCTACAGCTCCTCTAGTTCAAATGGAAACTCCCAGGATGTCCCTTCCTCCTCCCCACATGATCAGACCACCACCACCAACCATCAGACTGCCCCCAGCTGTTCCAAACACAACTGTTCCACCTCCCAGTATTCCCATGCAAAATCTCACACAAGTTCCACCGACTCCTCATCCCCTGGTTCCCCAGAACTGCGGAGGAATGAGCAATCTGGCGATGCAGGGCAGCATCCCCACCAATATCCCACCTAATATCCCCCCAAATATTCCAACGAATGTTCCACCTCCGGCACTTCTTCCACCGATGACCCAGATGCCGCCAAATATGGTCGGAATAAATCCCCTGGTAACCACATCAGGTGCCATCGGTGTGGGAAATGTTCAGACTGTTCCTAATGTTCCTCCACCATCTGTTCTACCACCCATCATCATCTCTGGACCACCACCAGTCCATGGTGTTGGTGGAATCAATTCTGTTCCAACGGTACCACCACCGAATCTTAATATTCCACCGCCTAGTGTGCCACCTGGAATTATTCCAGGAAATACAGGTGCAGGGTGCATCCTGGGGCCCAGATTCCCAGTGGCAAATGTCCAGGTGCCACCGCCGGTCAGACCACCGGGCTCCAGCATTGCTCCTGATACGGGTAAAGTAGTTGAATTTATTTTTATTATTTTTTTCAATCAGGCAGTTAAATTTTTGAAGCTTCCTGAAAAATTCATTACTGAATTATTTCAGCTCGTAACTGTCCGGTGGAAGCTGAGCAATTGGCTAGAATAGTCGCTGACTGTGGTGATGCTATTGAGCAAGAAGTACGCGAGAAGAATGCCCAAGATCCTAAGCTATGGTAACTACTGTCCTCACTGACTCCTTCAGCATGAATTAAAACTCCTCACATCCACCTGTACTTATCGCACTCAATATAATTCAAGTCCAATTAACAAATGTCATTTGCATAACATTATCTTTGCAAATTGTAACTCCTTTGAGTGATGTTTTTTTTTTTCAATTCCCTCAACATTTCATCAGCATTATCATTCTTCATTAGATGGCAAGGACTGTCTCATGAATTATAAGACTAAAATTCCTCTTTGATGGGTAAATTGAGGCGATGATTTATTTCTCACTATTCTTTATTCCACATTCGTTCATGGCTTTTAACGTCATTTTGATCGTACGTCTGTCCACCCACTCGCTGCACACTGAATTTATTTTCGAGCTTTTTGCTTACTTTATTGGTTAAGCTTTCTTGCAACCCCAATTAGATAATCAAAGGTATTCGCTATTGTTAGATGGTATTTTAGTACAATTATGTAATTGGGACCTTTCCAACTTTTTCAGATATTCAGCAAAGTAAGACTGAATGGTAATTTTTGTTGGAAATTCCCCAGTTGCAATGCAGCAGAATTATATTTTAGAGACTCAAGCATTTTTCAATTTTGTAAAATGTCACTTTAAGCATTATTTTCCTTTCTCTACTAAATTCCACAAATTTTTTTCCAATTGTTTTCATTATCCAGAAGTGATACAAATAATTGAAATAATGTCTCCCAGAATTTATTCACAAGAAATAAGTAATTGAATCCCTGTTTTGCAGTATTTTAATTCATCAATTTAGTTATTATTTTGTAGGGGTCCATGTCTAAAAAACTCACGATAAAAAAATTGACAAAAAAAAACGATGCGTCAAAACCATTCCGTCAAAAAAAAATAAATAAATAAATAATCGTGAATGCATTACAGTACTCTCCGAATACACGCTGAATTTTTGTCAATGGAATTTTTCAGACGTGATCCCTTTTTGTACTGATGATATTTTAAAATAAAATTCGTCGGTACAGTAATGAGATTTTGGCATTTTATCGTAATATCCCATGGTTGAAAAAAAGTAAAATCAATATTTTTGGATACTTCATTAGGCGTAAATCTCACTCGACAGAGTTTTAAGTATTGTTTTAATCAAGGTTTCTGCACCAAAAGCAAAGTGCAGCGTATCTGCAGTACAGGGGATTGGTGGCCAAATTTCGTGGTGAAAAGGCTGATAAAAATGGGAGTAAGAAGGGCACTGGAGCTGAGCCGTACTGCCCAGAAGAGGCTCTCAGCGACAATGACGATGTCGATAAAACGACTAACAGACCGTCATCACAAAGTGGTGATTAATAAAACAAAGTAAAAAAATATTTTCTCTGCTAAATCATTATTATCGGCTATTCATTTTTAGATATGTCAAAAGAAGAAAGTAGGGAGGAACGAAAAAGAAAGCGACGAAGTCGCTGGAGTGGTCCAGAAAATACCATTCCTATTCCTGGAGTGACAGTACCACCAATTACTACTGGTGTACCTCTGACAATACCGATACGTCCACCAGGACTGGCTTTACTCGGCCAGGGGCTGTCCGTTATGCCACCAAAAACCGAGAACACCAAAGGAAAAAATCCTATGCTCACAAAAGTCTGTAGAAATGATCCTGCTCTGATCCAGTATGCCAGACAGACATTTGGCACGCTGGACCTCAGCGAGGAGCAGTGGAAAAAAGCTGAGGATCATTACAAGGTGATTATCACTATTTCGATACACGAATTTTCGAGACTAAGAAAAAACCTCAATCATAATACAACAATAACTGATGTGCGTTGATTTTCGAAGATCAATCTCCTGTATCAGAATCTACTGAAAAAACGTGAAGAAGTGAAACGTTTAGAGTCCCAGGGAAAACATAAATACGAATACGACAGTGATGAAGAGACTGAAGGTGGAACATGGGAGCATAAAATAAGATCAGCAGAGATGGAGGCGACGCAAATATGGGCTGACGAATTGACAGCTCAAGCCGAGGGTAAACATCATATTGGTGATTTTTTGCCACCTGATGAGCTCAAGAAATTTATGGAACAGTACAGTGCCCTCAAGCAGGGAAAGGAGCCTGACCTCAGTGATTACAAGGAGTACAAACTTAAAGAGGATAATATAGGTAATGATGATAATTTGGGCAAGTTCGGCCTTCTTGAAATTAATTTTACCCCATACTTTGTCCAGGTTTCCAGATGCTACAGAAATTGGGCTGGAGTGAGGGCCAGGGGTTGGGCAGTGAAGGGAGTGGACGAGTCGAACCAGTGAACAAGTGCGTTCTGAATTGTTTGATAATTCGTAAGGACCTACTGATAATTATAAAATGGGCATTTTTTATTCGCCAGGGCGACTAGCAGACTTGACAGCGCTGGACTAGGGTCCGAGAGACCCGATAACATATCACGGGATGACGACGAATTTGATGCATACCGAAAGAGGATGATGCTCGCATATCGATTTAGACCGAATCCTTTGGTAATACTTGTGCAATTGATTGTATTTAATTCGATTAAAAAATATCCTAAGACAATTTAATTATTTCAGAATAATCCACGAAGGCCTTACTACTGATGCAGCTAATCATCAAATGGTCGTGAAATTTTGTATATTAAATTCTTCAGCGGTATCAAATTTTCTATCAAAGAATCTAAGTGAGACAATGCTATTTTCTATATATCGCATAATTGAAGTATGTTTATTTTAAAGAATTATATCTGATTATGTATATTGTTGCTGGCACGTCCGTTGTCCAATACATAAATTTGTTTATAAACGTATTCATTTAATTCCTCCCGCCATCACAGAAATTTCAATTAAATCTCCGTTATTTGCCAATTAAATACCGATAGTTTCCATCTCATTAAAAATGGGTGGAGGAGTCAATGACAGGAATTAATCTGCGAACCCTGATTTCTCACATATTCCATTAAAATGCCCGGGACTACTGAGGAAATAGAAAGCGACAAAAGAATTTTTCCCCATTCTTCTTCTTTCTCTAGGTCAATGACTAGTCCCACTAATTGTTTCATATTTTAATTAATCTGTGCGTCTCGCCGCACCTCGACACTCGAGTTCAAGACCAATTGTTTGTTTTAAAAATTGTTTAATCCTTGATTAATTAAGGACTATTGAGTTAACAGTATGTTACGCGAAGCACTCATCCACGTAAATAATGCATATCCTATTAAATTACAATGATTCATCCACCTTCTAATTTAGAACAGAAATAGCCATCGTTAAAACGATCACTTTAGTGCACAATTACGCATCCGAGAGCCAACACCCAGAGAATTAAATGTTTTTTCATCAAATTGAAATTTGTTGGGGAATAAAGTACCGTAAAGTCTAGTAAATTAGCCACCGGCCACGATTTAAATTGCCCCTCACCGTTTGTGTACCTCGGTTGGGTTGTTAAAAACATTGGTTGTGGTACAGACATAAGAAAAGACCAGTTAGGTAGAACGGAGGTAATCGTTTTTCCAATTAAAGTAGCCAACACTCATTTGTGTGTATGCTGTACGTTTACCAGAAAGAAAACGCCAACGATTCGAAAATGTGATCCGTTTTTCGTTGCGACCACCTCGGGGGACAAAAAATTGTGAAGCAAAAAAAAAAGAAAAACTATATTTTAGACGTATATAAAAAATTACTCAATAAACCGACGTATGTTCCCTATTTCACTTCGTTTTTCTCGCCTTTCACTAGTTAATATTTTTTTTTACATAATTTAATTTCCTGGGCTGCTGGACCGGTAGAGCACGTCTAGTGAGGGGCCATTTTGATTTTTATTACGACAAAATGGACGGTTGACGTCAGACCGGCTTGAGCTTTAAATTTAACCTGAACTAAACATTAAAGTTACCCGCGGTAATGAAAAAAAAAATCCTGAAGATAAATTGACGGAAAATAATTGTAACTAAAAATCCGTGAATAATTAATCGGATAATGCGTAAAACTGATAGTTAATGGGAATGCCGGAATAATGTACACTCGTGATAATCGAGAGGCAATAGACACGGAGAAGTAACTGGATAAATGAAAAAGTAGAATTTCCGATCGTGTAGGTATGCACAAGGCATTCGATATGATATCACATTACGACGCGTTTGACTTTCAAAGCGCCATATATAAAAGTGTTAAACATTTAACGTTCTCCCCTACGCGTTAAGAATATAAAGAATAATATCAAATAATTTTCGACACTCACCCTTGCTTGAGTCATCGAACAGAGAGTGTTAAAACACCGAAGGTAGAGTGAACCGCGAAGATATCGGCGTGATAAATCGTCTCATGAATATCCTGCAGTGTTATTTGGAATGAATCCAAGAGTTGGTCACGTTTCTCGACGATGAAGAAGATGAAGATTCACCAGACGATTGAACTTCTTGGATGCACCACATGTTCCACTGCATCCGGTGTGGATCATGCAAAAATGAGATCAAGGATTTTTAAGCACCAAGAATAGAAACGGAAATCATTCAAATTTATCATTTTTTCAGGATAATGATTTATAAAATCACTTGGAATGTAATTATTGCAGGAATTAGCATGAAGGACTCGTCACCGGTTGTGGAAAATGAATGGCAAATCTCAGGTGACGCGAGATTGGAATTCATTTCAAAAGCTAAAATGTCTATATGAAATGTAACAAGTGCATTTATGCGATACACTGAGAAGGCACTCGTTGGATGAGAGGTATCTGGGAAACGCAGTTTGACGGCTTTTTACGCTCTGATAAACTTGTAGTATATTACGGCCATCCCTCTTTTATCGGGTCGAGTCAGTAGACACTATCATCCAACACACGGGATAAATTATCCGTTTGGGCGAAACTCGAGAGAGAGCTTTCGCTTGTCAAGCAATATAAGCTACTTCTTATTTCCTCATATTTTACGACGAAAAAACCAAAACTCTTAGAAAATTGCTGTGATTATTCGCCATGAATAATTAAAATCGTCCCAGAAAATTTTATTCAAGATATTTATTGACACCGGATAATTTATTGCAACTTGTCAAAGCGAAAAAAGAGTCAAATATTTTTAGGAATAGTGGAAAGTGGCGATCCTTGGGGGTTCTGGCAAAAAAAAAAATTCGTGGACAATGGAGATGGAATTTTTACGCTATAATATATGTGTATTGGGTATATATGTATTATCGGTCGTAAAAAGCCCGTAAAATTGTTGCACCTCAAAGTAAAATAGTGTGGGCTGAGGGGAGGGTATGGACTCTCACCTGATGTGATCCAGCATATCACAGGCCTTTCTTTCTCCAGCCTCATAAAGTGAGATGGCATTACTCATACACTACGGACACGATAATAACCACACGGTAAATTACATAACAACAACAATCGAGTATATCTTTTTCTCATTGTCGTGACCCGATCGCACTGTGGACGAGAGGGAACTGTTTTATTTTACCAGCACCGTTGTAACACAACATTGTAGTAGTGCACTGTAAAAATTCACACGCTACGAAATACCGTATTTTCTTTATGTGAAAAATGAAAGGAAAACTAGATTTTTCATGTCAATGAGAGGCATTTATCTGTTATTTCGAAATTAATCATTGAGACAGGCGAATGGATTTCCACTGATTAAAAAAAATCTCACCCAAAAAAAAAGGAATAAATAAAAATGAAACGAAAAAATGTCAATTGACCCCCATTTAGTAAAATATCTCTAATTAAATACCTGAGATAAATTCCGAGAATTCATGAGGAACAATTCTACTTCTCCAGTTGCGCACCCATTCTGCAAAAAAAAAAGCACACGCCATCCCACATTTCAGTAATGCACACCGAGGAGTATAATCTATCCTCAATTGAATCACAGGAAAACAACCGGCATTAGGAGTATAGACCATAGGTAAGTACACCGTATTACTTAACTTTTATTTAGTGTCGTTAAAATTTTCGTCATACTCAATTACTACGTAACGCCCTTTCTCCAGTTTAATTTTACTGCATCTTTCTAAAGGGGCTGCCGAAAATTCCTGATTTACCTCATCAACATTGTTATTTATTATTTATTCGACTGACAATTTCCCAATGCCAGCATTCCCTCTTCTGGGGCTGAAAATCCAACCGACAGATTAAATACCATAAATGATGATTTCCCCTCAGTAAAAGTCCTTATCAACTAGACAGGTATCTTAATTAGTAGACGTCCCCTGAAATCTCCCGATAATTGATGGAAAGTGCAATTAGATAAGCGAGAGTTGGGGATTTAATGATGATCGAAGGATTTGGAATTTTTTTTAATGTCCAATTATGAATTTTCATGCCCGTCCTTTACCTAATGGTCACTACTTCACTATAAATCCGAGGAATCACTGATGGAACAAGAAGAGATGATGTGTAGTAATACAATCAGAGAAGTGAGACCCTGACCTCGGTGGTTAGTGTCTGGAGGTCGTGAATGCACTTGTCAAGACGTAGAAGAGACCAACAAAGAGCTGGAGGATAAGGCAAAGGCCACAGACAAGCCCATTTATTGCTCGATCACGAGTTTCAATGAATCTGATGCTCATGAGAGAAGATTATTTCACTTAAGTGGTCACGTTAACACCCTCTACATCCTATTGTAATGCTCGGCAGGTTGTTAGGCTCCGGTAGCACAAATGACATAATTGTCATTTCGAAAAAGAAGTTACACCGGCGCATAATTCATAAGCGATAGGTTGTAAAATGTTTGGACACATCATGATTTGATGATAGGGTCCTTGCGCAAGTGCAAGACCTGAATCTACGATCATCCAAGTACTCGATTGTTTTTTTCTTTTTCGTTTTTTTTTTCAATTAAATTCTTTCATTCATGTCTCTGATTATTTTATTGCCACCTAGGCGCGAAGATGTGCAATGGAAAAATTTGATTTAATTACTGGGTATTATTAAGGCCTAATTAGTTGGAAAAATGGAGGATTAATTAATCGATCGGTTGCATAATTTAAATTGCACACACTGGTTTACCTCAGAGAGATTAAAAGGAGGGCGTCACTCCTGGACACGAGGCATTCTTTAGATGGGAAGGAGGAATTATAATAGTTACAATAAACTCGATGTGGATAAAATGGTAACATGAGAATGTTCGCCTTGATGTCTGGACGAGTGGGAAATTTCCGAGTGGAATATGGAAAGGCACTGCATATTTCCCTCATCTGTGGGTGTTAACACCGTCACTGAACCGATATTAACCCTCGATGAGTGATAGCAATAATTAAACAATTCAAATGACTTCAAAATTTTCAGGACATAACCCACAAGCCTGTAATTTACTGCTCATGGAAACAATTACAGTCGTCATAACATTCTTTTACGCTTTCGAGATAGTCTCGTATCTGCGACTAAAAATAAAAATATTGCATGTAGTTAGAATTGAGTTAGAGCTGTGGAAAGTTAACTGGAGACCCGAGGGAACACTGGAGAAACTGTATTTATACATTGGGCGTATGTGCCACGGTGTAGGAAGGGATACAAATGAGAATTTAGAAAATCACTCATCAGTTTATTTTCTGGGGCGAGGAAAATTCGATAAAAGGTCCACGTTCTTTCTGAAATAATTCATCGACCGAATTGATAATATCCATGACCCGAACACGATGGTCAATCGATTAGACTTTTTCGATGTGAAAGTAAACTTGCTATCGAGCTATCGACGAAGAAAGTATAGACGTACCTCAACATTTTCAATTTATTTTTGTCTCAACAGTCGAGATGTTGAATGACATTTTTTTTTTAAAAAGAAAAAAAAGGGAAAAAGGGAAATAGGTGGAATTGTTTTTTTTTTTTTGAGGATAATTTGGCTGACCTATGGATTGGAGAACAGCTGGTGAGGTTTGACTGGTAACGCGTGCCTCTCTCGGTCCCCGTACAAACGGAATAGGGTGGTGGTAGAAATGGGCCTTTGGCAGGGCCTCAACACCGCAAACTTCCCACCACCGACACTTCACCAACAACCAAGTAATAGTGCGGACGCGGGAACGTCGCTCTGTATTTTTGAATAACCACGGATGTCAAACGAAAAGTCTTCAGAGTTGATCCGGTATTAAAATACATCCTCATTCCCACCGAAAATGATCATCGAGTGAATTCTAGTGACTTCTCTACTCTCTCCTCTCTATTTAAAATTCATTTGAATTTTCCAAAATTGAGACATCAGTAAATACTTTCTCATTTATCACCGATTAGTGGATCAATTATTAAGTGGAGTACTATTTAGTGAAGTTTAATCCAATTATTAACCAGAAATTTAAACGACGAAATTGAATAATTAGGTCAATTTAAAAATTCACCGCCAATTTCAATTCTTGAATTTAATTGGTGACATTTTTTGTATCGATTGAACTGTTGCAATTTTTTTCTTACAAATTGGACTAGCGGAAAAATAGAAAATTTCAATTGTCGTGGTGTGGGAGAAAGGTGTGAAATACAGTGCGAAAAGTGGAATTTGTTAACAAAGTGTGGAAAATTTGTTGAAAATGAGAGCAGCGGTGTTGACCGCTTGTCTCTTGGGCTTCGCAGTGGGTGGTAGCCCAAGGCTGCCGAGGACTTCCGCCGATCAGAGGAGTATAAGAAACGCCCAGAACATCAATATCACGGGGAATCTACTGCCACCTGTTACAAGAGGCTCCCAGAGAAATCGGTGAATTTGAAATTCCATTTTTTTCCATCTCATTCTACATGAATTTCCGCCCCAACGAATTTCGTCCGCTTCTACATTTTCATCTCCCCCCTTAATCAATTAATTAATTAATTTCATTAAATAATTGCAAAATGAATGCAAAATGGAAATAGAGAATAAATGGGGGGACCAGTGACGAGTATGAAAATGATGTTAATAAATAATGAGCCCTGACTCAAGCGAAAAATCGATAAAAACCGATAAAAATCGATAAAAATCGATATCCTCCCCTCGCAGAAGGTGTTTGAATTTACCGGCCCCTTAATTAAAGGCTTTCATTCAATGGATAGCCTCTCGGTACTCTCAAGTGCGATTCACCACTGAAGCGCAATTTCGAATTGCCCCCTCAACCCACATTTTACACGTATATAAAACTGTCTCGTAATACCTCCGAGGGACTCCTTTTGTTTGTCCCAACTCACGGTGAAATTGCAAATGGTTACAGGCGCAATTGCCTCGTTAGGAAGCCGAAAAACCCCCGGTCGTCTCAAAAGATTCGCCGAGGGAAGAGGAATTATTGCTCAACACTTCAATCTTCAACCACAACATATCGATATTTTCATCGTTTATAAAAAAAAAATATCCTCTTTACATTCTCGTGCAAAAGGTTTATCTTTATCTTCTTCATTTACACGATATTGCGCAGTACCGTCAACCGATTTTGCCACCCTCGTCGTTTTTTTATCGATAGCATCACGAAATTCAATAAGTCCAGATTTTTTTTAAGCGAAAAATAACCTAGAGATGTTGATGCATAATTATTTAATTAATCTCGAAAACCTCTGACATATGATATGAGGAATTGTCGAGAGTAATTAGTTGAGGGAAATTTCCGACACAAAAATGTCTCGCCATTTTCTCTTGCAATTAGCATCACTCATTATGGAGGCAATCTGATGTTCAAGATGTGGATAATTGACAGTACCGATTTGTTGTTTTGGATTTCTCGAAAAATTACGAAAAAAGTACTTGCAATTCCAAAGAAATTGATCAAAGGGGAAGTGGATAAATGACCAATGATCAATTTGGGTCACTAATTTTTCTGATTCTTTAATGGAATCGGCAAATTAAATTTGTCTTGCCCTTTCGATGTAATTCCTTTCATCGCTGGCATTTACGAATGTTTTATCAGCGTTATCCTCGAATTTCGGTTTATGGTGTTTTTACTGTTCTGGACACGACGATGACCTTTCGATTTCATATGGTCAGTCATATTTCACTAATGGTTCAACCAAAGAGATTTCTCCGGACGGTCAATAAATTCATTTTGATCCCATCATTCGAAACGATCGATTGACCATCAGAAATGAGACAAGTCATTTAATTTCCGAGAGTGGAAAAATCTTGATGATCTTCTATCCATGGGGAACTCACGCCCCGTTATTTATTTATTGACTTTAATTCCGGTTTGTTCAGTACAACCGGTTTCCCAGTGACAGATATTATGTTTTCATTTTTTTTTTCTCATTTTTAATAATTTCAAGTGATCCGAGAACTCTTCTCATAATAACTTGTCTCTTGAATGCAAATGAAGACTTAATATTCCGCGCTGAAAGAAAGTTTTTTTTTTCAATCTTTTCCACTGATTCGAGGTGAAAGAAAAAAATGAAACATCTTCTCCGTGAGTTGAAAGTTGATGAATTCTCATTTTTTCATTTCAAAAGTGTAATTAGTTTTTTTTCCTGGGATTTGGAAAAAATTGATAGAGTAATTTTTAATGAAATCGTGAGTTATGGCGAGAAATAATTCGATAATTTGAGGATATGTGATGGTTTTGTTTGCCCCCGGCATTCATGAGGAAAAACGAATGTTTAACTTCCTAGTTTCCTTTCTCCAGGATAACCGGTGGTCATCACAATCGTAATGCTCCAGTTAGTGTCACGGTTGAGAGGGAATCGTTGCGGTTGGTATGTTTGGAGTGATAACAGTATTTCCATTACGAAAGCCGCATTTTTCCCGGTTTTTCCAAAAAAAAATGTTGATATTGATCAACAGACAGGACAAATATGGGTCAATAGAGGTATAAACAATCCAACAATAAATTTCAAACCCTAAATCATCGCAATTGCCAATTGCTCAATTGGCATTATCCGCTGGAATTACTCATTTTCTAATTCATCATCTTTGAAATCTTTTGAAATTTTCTGATGACGCGTGATTCGAAAAAAAACTTGACTCGTTTCTTTTTTTGCAATGAAACAAAATCTCAGCGAGTTTCTATTCAACCGTCTAAATGCCCCGGAGAGACAAACAATTATCGTAAACTCAACTTGAATAACCGCGTAAACTCACCATCGCTCAGTCACAAAAGCCCGTGGACACCAGTTTCTACTTCCTTATTTACGGAGTTATTTGCGCCCATACTGCACACACCGATGGATGAAAAAAAAATTGTGGATTGATGAAAGCCAACTGTTCTCCATTTGAAACAGTCAAAAAACATTGTTAATTGTGCATTGCAAAAGTCACTCGACATTTTATATTTAATAGTCCCCCAGAGAATTCGATGGGCATATAATGTAACGGAGTTATTTCACATCTGCAAAAAAATTTTGAGGTATTGCTATTTATTCATTGCATCCTGAAATTAATTTTTTCAGATAATCGGAATATTACAACGAGAACAATTCTATTTGCATAACGTCAATTAAATATTCCAATTAATTGATATATAAGATGGAGATTATTTCATTTTTATTTGAAATTTTTTTTTGTTATTAGGGGATCGATGTAAATATAATTGGAAAGTATTGACACAGAGTATTGTTAATTCGGAATAAAAAAACTCCAGTGGTTTCCGGTATTAAATGCATTTCCTGGAGCTACTATTTTTCAAAGGGGTTTTTGTTAACTTGTGCCTCCGAGCGGTGATTTCTTGTGATACAGGAAAAAACGAGTTGCCACCCGGTGTTTTTCACCTTTTAAGTTTTCCCTCGTGAAAGGGCACTTGATCTATCATAGAACCTGAAGAGTGTCGTTCATGCACCAGTCAAATGATATCACGCTGATTATTCGTTATCAGGTGTCATCCAGTGGCAATATGACATTTTAAAAATTCCATTTCCGGTTGCGTTATTTCAATTTTTTTTTTTTTGTCACCGGGATCGACTCGACAGTCACTGAAATCATCGAGATGGGTTAGGTAATCACCATTTTGTCTATCGAAGCTTCTTCTTTTTTTTTTTAATTCCCCTGGGTCGGTGACGCGTTCTTGATTATAAAACCTGATATACAGGCGCATGTCGCGTTCGATGACCACAGAGCAGTTACATGTATTCAAAGGTCAGTGAAATTTATCGATAGATTTATTATCACAGGGAATCATTATTTTCCTGTTTCAAAATTTTTCAACGTGTGGCTTCTCCATGGAGATAAAAATTCGGCGCAAATTGCAGGTCTAAGGGAAATTACTGTACCTCTCAGTAAAATTTCCCCCATCGGTCGACGGAAATTTCTCATCGATTGCATCGAACGATTTCAATCGGAGTTTTGCAATTATTTTCGCAGCCCTGTCACCCGGTATTTATTAAAAACATCTGGGAAACGATTCTAGGAGAATCCGGGTAATACAGAAAATACGATAAATATAATCTGCACAAGACAAATGGATAGACGTAATAAAATGTAATGGAAGAAACGAAAATCGTGTCGTGGAAGATAGAGAATGTTACGTGAAATTCTAGAAATTTACATGGAGTTCTCACAAAAATTCATTTCTCAAATAAATAAAGGATAGAATAAATTACATGAATTTACGTAACAGAAGTAAAAAAATTGATTGGATTCTGAGAAATTCTATTGAATAATTCGATCCATTGTCATTTCACCTGTCCATTTATTTGCGCTAGAAAATTTCCCCTGAATTTTATAATTTTCTCTGATGATAGATAATAGCTCATCTGCGATGAATAAATAAATAAATGGGTTGAGACGCAGAAATTGAATTAGCTCAGTGAAAAATAATAATTTCTCAATTACGAAAATTGAGGCTGGGAAGCTATTCCCACTGATCTAGACAGATCATGAATTCAGTACTTGCAATAACGAGAGTAATAGCAGCTCATCCATATCAGAGTTGAGTGATCGTGGATTGCAGAAATCGTGTGCCTCCAGTTGAGCCTTTCCTACCACATTTTTCAAAGTTAGAATTTTTCCCGCCAGCAGAACCCCTCATTATCAATCAAAGTTACAACATTGATTTTTTAATCTAATCCTCACAAAATCTGGAATTGATCCAATGAATTATTTAATTATCTGAAAGAATTGTCAATTTCTAAACAAATATAATGATCTCTCGATTATAATTGCGGATTATGAAATCATTTATGGTACTCCCCCGATAATTGAAGTGAAGATTCCCTCATGATCTATTGATCTATCATTACAGTCCACTTCACGTAGTGTTCATGCTAATCGGTAAAGTTCATTTTATTTACGTAACTCACGTCGACCACCCGATGATCACTGAATCATACCACAAAGTTCATAAGACCCACGTGGTTATGATCATCAGATTAATTATCATCACGAATATTCGATGGACATTTAAATCATCGATCTATTTAACTTTCCTCAAATTGTTTTTGATAATTATTAATTCTGAACTTTGCGTTCAGAAAATTGACGAAATTACTGTTGCGTTCGGTCTTATTGACGCGGTGACTTTAAAGTTTGAAGATGTTACACAATTCGCGATAATGCCAGTGGAGTGCAGTTGACTTTTCTCCCTGTCTCGGGTCGTATTTATTTTTTCAATAGACTTGTTTATAATTTTAAATTCCGGGATCTAAATGAGCTCTAATCATCCAAAGAAATAATGCTAAATTACTCACAACTTCCCGTTTATTTTTAATAATAAAACTTGAACAATTTCTTTCAATTTTATGAACTCCTAGATTTTTATCGCTTTTCTCTGATATATTCAGGGGAAATATTGAGCTATTATGTTATCCTTGAAATAA